TTCAACTGTGTGGGTCACTGCCTTTGTACGATAGAATCGATATTGTTTTTCACCTGCCATGCCTGTTGGGTTTCACAACTTTGGGTAGCGTGAGTTTAGGAGGGGATTTTCAGTCATTTTCTCCGTAGTTAATTTACACTCGCTGTAATTTGACGTTTTGAAACGGTAATAGAAACGGCGCACGAATGTCATTGGAAACAGTCTCTATAACTTCAATGTTTTTACTCAGTAGGATTTTCTATTTTTATTAAATATTTTGTCAATATGCAAATGAAAAATGATCAAACAAAGGTGCTCCATCCAGATCTGGTCCCTGACTCTCATGTCTGTACAAGAAATGGGGTGATGTAAATGGCTGGTACTCGTTACCAAACCCTCCTCCTGCCTCCCTCCCTCCACATGCTGCTACCTGAAGAGACTGCTCTGCCTAAACAAAGCTTTAGCTGACAGACTGTTTCCTCTCTGCGGGTGCAGTGAAGCAGGAAGTAAGCCGTCTGTGGCAGCAGCTTTCTGCATAACGAATGCCTCAGGCCGCAAACGTGCGACTCTATTTTATACTGACAAAACACAGTCGTTTCTAACATTAGAGAACGGTGTTCGGGTAAGTGAACCATATCTTTCTCCTCTAACTGCTGTCAGTTCCATCCATAGTGCGTTTGCTGCTTAGTATTTCTTTACTGTGGCAGAAAATTATTCTGAAATAGAAATGTAAGATTGCTGTCTATTTATTAAGGTGGCGAAGAATTGTACACGACATTTCAACCACTGATCTGAGATGGACTGTGCGCACAATGTTGTCTCGTTAGCGCCTGCATTGGAAATGGGGTTAAGACTGGCGTTCTGTCCAGGCTGTACTCTGCCTTTGGCCTGTTGCTTGACGGGACTCTTGATTTGAAAGACACAGAAAATGAATGGAAGGAAAAGGGGTTGAAGTGTTTTTCCCTTCTTCCTCTTAAAAAAAAAAAAAGCTTTGACTTATTTCTTCATATCGAAGTGATGCATTCTATTGAGTCTCAGTGTAACAGTGTAAAATACCAGATGAACCTGTTTAAATTACCAGCAAATCCATTTTGTGCTCTTAATGCCACTTAAAACTGGGGTTTTGTATGCTAAGTGGAGTTTATCAAAAATGTTTAGATCTTAATCTCGCTTATTTCCGCTCTTTTAGGTATGTAGACACTTCCCTTCATACACGCGTCTAGGTGTATAGACACGTTTATCTCCCACCACCCCATCCATACCATTGCAGCAGCTCCCTGGGTCATTCCTGACAAACGTAAAGGGGGTTCAGTCAACTTCATCCTAACTGTCGGGCTGCCAATTTCTCTCTCCTGCTTGATCAAGAAAGCACATGATGATCATTTCATTTGAAGAACGGTGGAAGTGGAGCACCATACTATACTGCTTGTGCTGAAAAACTGAAAGCATCTGAAAAGATGTTCTTTCTAGATGGCAAACTGCACTGGACAGAAGATGTATTTGCATGATGACATCCGTTTAGTTTTCTGCCATTGAGCACATTCTATTGGTCTGTGGTCATTTACCTCACCAAGAAATGACACACGAACAAGCCTGTCTCGAACAAGGTCTCATCATGCGCACATTTTTCTGTCTTTTTAAAAAATAAATATATAAAAATGTATTTACAAGGTTGAGATTACTGACAACTGTTCTGTTATGGTGGGCTAGTAGCAGCTGATGAAGACCCAGTAATTTTGGAAGGTGCTGTGGAATAGTGGTTAGGGTGCTGGGCTGTGAAGGAGTTAATGGGTTCAAATCAAGGTGATCTGCAGGTGCTGTACCTTTGTGCAAGATAGTTAAATACTTAGTGTTTCGCTTAATAGCCTGCTATATAAATATAAATGGATAATATCTACATTGATGTTGTAATTGATTTTGTTTTCAGTTCATTTATCTGGTTAAATGAAAGATTAGATAAATATAAAGCATTGCAAGATGTGACTGATATAAAGCAAAAATCCATGTACTGTACAGTCGGTGGATTCTGTTTTTTGTGGAAAAGGTACTCAACATAAAATCTCTGCCTTTTGCTGTTACGCAGATCAGGGTGCAAAGAGAAACGGAAGTTAACTTGTGGCTCTGTTTTCTAAAGCAGATTTACCTCATTAAATTTAATGAAGTGATCAGTTGAGTGTTCCAAGTGAGGTTAATGCAGGCTTTAGGTCTCTTGTAAAGGTTGCACTAAAAATACAGTGGATGACCTGACTGGCATTATTATCCAAATTATTATGGAATTGTACACCCAGATAATTAACATGAATAATATTTCTCCATTTTCATCAATCTTCCTAATCTGGCCTAACACAAGGTTGCCCTACATCTTGGACAGCATGTCAGTATGGAAAGCTCATTCAAGAATATAATAAATATAAAATAAAAGGTTCTGATTCTTGTTTGAAAGATGGAACTTTTTGACAATCCCTATAAACATATCCACAGACGGTAGCATATGGAATTCTTACCACAAGCATGTTACAGGAAGTCAGTCTGACGTTTCAAAAAACAGGATTTTTGTTATCTAAAGTTGAATGAAAATGGTTCCAAAACCTGCATTTAACTGTACTGTGGGCAGAGGAAGGCAAAGAGCTCTGTGGGAAGAAAAAACCCAGAATGTTCTTGTCACAGTATAGGCTTATCATTAAGTGCTGTAAATAAAACCCAAGTCCGTCTGTGATTTTGTCATCTAAAGTTATGTAATACCCATAGTACTCGTGGACAACATCTCAAAGTCCTTACCAGTATGACTATAAAAAACGTTAAAAGGTCATTTTAAAAATGAATATAAATTATATGAAAACCCTAATAAAATCACACGGCAGAAGCCACAATATAAATGTTTGTTAATTTGCTTCCAAAGTACTGACAGCACTGCATATTGAAATGCTGTCCCCTTTGAAGGTCTAACGCCTACACTGATTGGTTTTGTGGTGTGAAAGGTTATGGAGGCTATGGTGAAAGTACCTCATAGCCCAGTGATTTAAATGTTTGGATTAGATTATGCTATCCACTCTGATAGGAGCCAATATTGAGGAGCCAAGACCAGAGTGAAGTGTTCAGAACATTTAGTTTGAGATAAAACAGAGGTTATTAATCTCTGAACACATTACAGTTTAAGAGCAGATTTTGAAATTGCAGCTGGCAAAACATTTCAATAGTAACGTCTGGTTTATCCAGTTCTTACTGTCTCTCTAGAGCAGTAAAAAGTGAAACTGCTAAATTAAGGAGTTGTGGGCATTTACATTTTGTGAACTTAATAAAGTACATTGAGGTGAAGTACATATGGTTTCACATTGATAGTTATACGATCTGGAAAAGGGGATCAAGCACAAATCCTTGATACATACTGCATGGTGAAATACATGTTAAGTAATTTTTTTTTAACCCAATTGTCTGAATGTTAAAATGTAAATTGTTTGAAGATGCAGAACTTTCAGTTGAGTAAACACGATGAGGTTTGAACTATTTCTGTAAAAAAACAATTTTAATAACCTTACTTATCTTGTCATCAGAGCAGAAGTACAGTAGAGTCGTGATTATCCAACCTAAACGGGGCCGATAGTGTCTCGGATAATCCAGAAACTGAGTATACAAATCATAGATTAATGGAAGCGCAGTATAAGTATGAAATCTGGTTTATTCATCTACTGTTATACTAAAATAACAGAGTACAGAACTATTGTTAGTTATTATTTTAAAAAATGAGCGATTGGAATGAATGCTTCTACTCTTCCTTGCGGCAAGGTCTCGCCAACGTCTTGGTAACATGAAATCATTAGCAGTTGTCTCCTCTTGTTTTTCAACGTGCACTGTACAGTATATACTAGTGTGCACTCTGGTGATTGGCTGTGTCGGATAAAACATTATGTCGGATAAGCAAAGTTCGGATAATCGGGACTCTACTGTGGGCTTTTTTCTATTGTTTTTTTTTTAAACCCAAGTGTTGTAACGTTTGTGCAGGATTGGCTAGGGAAAACTGGTCTGTTCTCTACCATGCTCTGTAATGAGGAAGTATATTTTCTGCTTTTCCTTGAAAGTAACCCCTGGATGTTTAGAATGTTAATGTTGAGTCTGAGTGGTGCTCGAAAATGTAACGGATATTTTATATTCACTGTGTGATACAGGAATATACGGTCAAATATAGGAAGTCTTTTTTTAATTTATGATCTAAATGAGCAGGACGGGGCTGAAGGCCGAAGCCTCTATAGACCTAACCTTTTTCTGTACCATGTTCCAGTTCTTTTTTGACCTGTTTTTAAGCCTGAATTCAACCCAGGCAAATTGCAGGACACATGCCTTAAAATATTGTTGTATGCTTTTCTTTTATACAGTGCGTAACATCAGACTTTGTCACATCAGTCCTATTTTTTTGCATGTTCATTTCACTTATCTTCAGTGCCAAAACAATATTTGTAAGGATGAAATTCCCTGAACTGGGACTGTATTTATTTCATCTTAATTTTCAGCTCTCTTATAGTAACAGTACCAGTGTTTAAATGTCAGAAATATGGACAGGGATCCAATGAATGTAAATCAGCACATGGAGAATTAAGGATATGGTTATAGATGTAAGCCAGGGATACAAATGGAATTTAATTCTAGCATTCTTTCACACTTAGTATATATTGGGTTAAGTTTTCATATACAATCTGGGATGTCTTTAGTCTTTCAGACTAAAAGAAAACCTTTTCCTGTGTCTTGAACTTCAGCCTTCTTGGAACAAACATTACCTTTCTCCAAAAATAAAACTTTGATTTGTTCAAATGGTATTCTGAATGGGTTTATGCATTGTATCTGGTAAAGCTAAACTTAAAAGCAATTCAGAACTTCATAGGAAAATATTGCTTGAGTGATTTTTGTGATAAATGTTGAATGTGGAAATGTCCTCTTTCAGAGATATCCAAGGGAAATTTAAGTGTTTTGAGTATTTCTGAGATGCTGATCCTTTTTTTAATTTTTGTCCTTATTTTTATGTTGGACAGTGGAATGGGAATGTCAATTGCTATTGGAGTGACCATATTTATCATCTTCATCATTATCATAATTTCCTGCTGCACATGTTCCTGCTGCTGCCTGTACAAGATGTGCAGAAAACCTCCAAGACGTAAGTTGAGCTGTGCTTATATTGCTTTTATTTGGAAATAAAAATACCATCGTTTATAATGTGGCACCACTACACACACTCACTTTCCAGTTTTGGAAGATGATAGTGCAGTTTGGCTGTGGACTGCATGCTGAGTGTGAGTCTTGTAGTATCTTCAATGAGAGGTCATTCTGGCTGGATGAAAGATCCAGCTCTCCCTCACAATAGCAGATACTAGAAAATCATCTTAGAGATCACAGTTGTCCTGCAGGCTAAAAAAACTTCCACAGGCCTGTTGGCTCTTGGCCAGTCGTACCCCATGACTTGGGAGATCTGGCACAAGTCAGCTAATGACACTAAAGCTGTTGACATTTGGATTGTAGTGCCCAGCATGTGCTCTGAATGAGCATATTTACTGTTTTGAGTCCCTCAGTCTCCCGTTTGGTTTTTATTATATTCTATTGCAAGTTTGCTGTACAGCCGGCTAATAAAATACACATAATTGCATTTCAGGTGGCTGAACTGTGTAAATCAGCAACACACGTTTTGTGTCATTGCTACACCAGGGGAAGTGAGTGTGTGTGCTGATGTAATATCAGCTATGTCATAACATATTATTTCTTGCCACTTTTACGTCAACTGTTTAACATAGTCGGCAGTACAGTTTACTTCCAAGCAAGCACCCTCATATTCCCCGAACATGAAACAATATGAAGAAGACAAGAAACTGTAAAACGTAATATTTTACACATACAATTGCCACATACATTTAGTGCAATCAGAAATATTTTTTTAATCCAGGTGAAAGTGAAAAATGAACGATGTACAATCTCTGCTTACCAGAGGCAGATAACAATGGATTGTGTTTAGAGAAAACCATATTGAGAGAATGTTTTGTTCCATTTTCTTACTGAACATGTTCCGTGAAAGTTCTTTCCATTTTCCAGGTTTGTAAGAGTTAAATGGGTGGCAGGATTTTAGAGTGAACCTGCTGAGAAATGTACACAGTGCCCCTAGTGCTGTGTAACTTGTTGGGGGCAGCACGCATATGGAAATTCTTTTACATGCAAAGCAGATCAAGGGTTTCCACCCTGTCTGACTCACATTTTCCAAGGCTGAGCCCACGTCCACAGACACATCAGGAAAAGACAAAATGTGTTCATACTGTATCAGTCTGAAGCTACTGGATACCCCATTCAACTTTGATGTTTTACCATACAGAATTTCAAATTTTCTTGTGTGAACATGATGAAACAAGAGTGGAAATCCCCTTTTCTGTTTTTTCAGGAATTGGACTTCTATGTGCCAAGCCTTAAACTTGTTCGCAATCATGGCAATTAAAATTTCTCCTGGAGGAATATAGAAAATGGAAGGAATTCAGAAAATTCCATACAGGAATTTCTTATAAGGATTGCAACTAGAATGCCAGTGTATACTGTAATGATTTCTTTTTGAAGAGGCCCAATCTCTAATGTACTGAAGAGATTGCTTGTTGAAAATGCTGCTTGAAATTTCAGTTCTGTTTTATCTCTAGTATATTTCACAACAGAAACTTTCTGTATCACCCTGCAACTCACAACTGGCCACCCACTGTAGCTAACCAGGTATGAGCTTGGTCAGTACCTGGATGGAAGACCTCCTGGGAAAGCTAAGGCTGCTGCTGGAAGAGGTGTTAGTGGGTCAATAGGTTGCGCTCACCCTGCCGTCTAATGTCCCAGTAAAATGATGGGTACACTATACTGTAAAAAGTATGAGATGTAAAACTGAGGTCCTGACTCCATGAGGTCATTAAAAATCCCAGGGCACCTCTCGAAAAGAGTAGGGGTGTTACCCTGGTGTCCTTTCCCCCTGGCCTTTATCAATTATGGCCTCCTAATAATTCCCATCTATGAATTGGCGTCATTACTCTATTTTCCTCCCCACTGCTAGCTGATGTGTGGGCAGTGTACTGGAGCACTATGGCTGCCGTCGCGTCATCCAGGAGGGGCTGCACATTGGTGGAGGGTAGTCTCCATTACCTGTAAAGCGCTTTGAATGGAGTGTCCAGAAAAGCCCTATAGAAGTGTATAAATATTATTTATTAAATTATTAAATCTCTGATTGCTGAATTAGAGATTTGGTCAGATGAAGCACAGAATTATTGAAACATTTCTTGATTTAAATCAAAACGTAAGAAATGCAAAACGGCAGTAGTTCTTAAAATGAAGAAAAACAAATGACAGTTTACAATGCCCTTCATACAGCTGGAACAGCCTGCCTGTCATCCATAATGCAATGCTAGAGGATCAACTTACGAACAAAAAAAAACCACTCGGCAACACCCAGAGCTAATTTGGCCATATTTAAAGTGACTTTTTCCACGATCTAACATTCACTCCCATTACAGCAACCGGACAACCTGTCAGAACGATACCAGCAGCAGGTGCTCCTTTGATAAGATATTGGGTTCTGTTTTCACAGCAATAGTGACGACCACTGCCACCACCACAGTCATGCAGATCCCCTACCCACAGCAGCCAGCGGCCCCCCAGACCTACCCTGGTCCACAGTACCCAGGCTACCAGCCTGTGCCTGTCCAGCCCGGCTATGGGAACCAGCCTTTGCCAACAGCTCCCTACCCAGGGCAGCAGTATGCGCCAACGTACCCGGCCTCCGGACCCCCCCCGCCTTACCAAGAGGCCGTGCCAGGTGAGCGCATCACGAGGACCTGAAGGACCAGCACTACTGCTGGCTACAGCACAGTAAATCGTTATTCACAGAGAGCAGGAGCAACTACGCTTGGCTCGTCTCTTGTGTTGTCGTCTTGCGGATGAATTTCTGATGTGTGCATACGTTATGCGTGACGTGAACATATGTCTGCACAAACATGTCTACGACTTGGCAATTTCATTTAAAGTCCCTGCATAACACTACTCTCTTTTTAAGCCACAGGCCATAGCGATGTGAAATCCAATCCTTAAAATCACTGGGGCATGTTAAGACCTTTTCTTTCCGTTTCAAATTTTTGTCAGTATTGATTTTTGTTTGTTTTTTTTTTGTGCAGGACCGGCACCTTACCCTCCACAACCTGCTTATAGCCCTGCACACCCTCCAGCGTCTTATGACTGTGGCCAGCCTGCCTACCCTCCCCAGCAGGGGTACCCTGCCCAGCCAGACTACAACTCCAGCCAGCCAGCTTACAATCCTGCCTACATGGATCAACAAAAAAACGCATACTGAATGGGACACAGCTGGAAAGATCACAAAACATATTGGACCTTTTCCACATTGACCTATCTGTCCTCGAATACACTGGGTCAACCGTCCGGTTACACATGGTTACAAAATGTGGTAATGTTTTTTTTTAATCCGAAGCGTCAACTTTTTAAACGTGTTTCTCACTGCATCTCAGTTCTCCACTCTTGCAGGGTTCAGTTATTTCTAAAGGGAATACTCAATGTCCCACCATACGCACGGTGAAAATGTGTAATAGGTTTAATTTCTACTTTTTTGTAAATATAATTCTGAGTCTGTTTTGATGATTAAAGTTCAAGTGAATGGGTATTTGCTCTTATGTCAAAATTGATAAATCTTGAGGTTGATGTGTACCTAACTCTGAATCTTCAAAATTATACTATTTTATTTTTATATTTTAGGTTTACTTCAGTGTTGCAAGGTATGGCTGTCACAGCTGTCTTAAAGTAGTAAAACTGAAATGCCTTAGCAGTTACTTGAAGACTTGCTGGCGTTTTACTGTTCTGCAGAATGTGTTTTTTGTGCTACCATAGTGCTCCATGATGGTCAAGAAGAGAAGTGCAGTGCTTTTGAATTTAATGGCCTTTTACAGGCACCTTTCTTTGTATAGTCTCCTCAGGTTCTCAGCAATAAACCGAAGAATGTTAACCTTTACTTTACAAAGGAGTTACTTATATTTAAAGTTTTAAGTAAATGCAGGAAAAGCCATTTCCACAGTGTCCATTGAGAAAGATAAAAAGAAACCGGGGATACTAGACCTCATTTCATCCTCTGTATGGGTTGTAAAAATATGCACATTCCACTTGGAGTTGTGCCCTTCTTTTGCCTTTTCACAACAATTATTCAAATATTCCATTTGTTTTATACCTAAAATGCCTTTATTGTACATGAATACGTTTTTTTCCAGTTTCTTGTATTTTTTCTAAAAAAAAATGCAGTTAGATGAGTTTGCTTCCTTTCTGAAGAGTTAACAATACACCTCACCCTGTTTTAGTAGTATCTTGTGAGAAGTATTTAAGGTGTTAGACAAAATACAAAGTACTAGATATGCATATGTTTTTGTGTGGAATAAACATCATTGTGATGATACCACTAACATTCCTATGTGCACATCTGTTTTCTGCATTACACAAATAGTATTTACTTGGATTTCCACCTGTCAGGTAATGAATGATGTGAAACAGTGGGATTTTTATGGTGTCTTGTCATACTGCTTCGGAGAAGAAAAGTTTCCTATTGCAGTGCAATTTTATCCATTTCAGAATTGCAGGCTCCAAGCAATTATATTAACCATATTCATGAAAAGGGAACCTCTTAAATTGTAATTTAACTCAGCATCTGGCTGTGCAGAATTAATCAGAATAACAATTAAACTGTCAATAATCATAGTAATTTCATTGGATATTAAGACTTAAGAGATCCAAACCTGTATATAAGCTTTTCATTGTAACCTTTGTGAACCTGCATGGCTGTAAACAAATCTAGTATTTTCCAGAGCCAGTTTGACTTTGAATAACTTCGGCAAGATGCCATGGGCCCACGTTCTCAAGATAACATATCATATGGGTAACATATCTACTAGTTCAGAGTGTTTGCACTTTACAATTGATAGATTAAACCACAGAGCTAAGACTTGTGTAAGTTCTAAAATGGAGTTTGTCCTGGTTCAAAATTAAGGTATAAGGATGTGTTATAAAGCACTGCTATTCTGCTCATTGTCACCTGAAATGAAATTGAGATTGTGTAACATTTAATTTAATAGTTTTAAAATATAATGGACTAGAACCTCTAAATCATGCATTTTTCCTCGTATTTAATATTCATGCAAGTGTTTAACAGAACTCCCATGTCCATTTTCCAGGCAAAATTGCTAATTTTATTTAAGAATTCATAACATAATTCTCTATTTAAAAGGAGTATGAGTATACACAATAGATACAGTTTTTTAGACAGTGGGAACATAATCAGGAAATGAAGGTGGCTTTAAATTTCACAGAAATTAATAGAAGAAATGCAATAGTTCTTAATCGGCAACAAATAATAAGCTTGACAGGAATCAAGAGGAAATGGTTCTTGTGTAAATGTTCAGAAAAAAAGTGTTGTCCTTTCTTTCATGAGAGATAAAATGCCATAGTAAATGTATTAGAGGGCTGATTTTCCAATAGGGAAAATTAGACCTTTAATTTGTTACTTGAGGCAGTTTTTTTTAAATCAAACTGTTAAATAAAATAAAAAAAACACGATATGTGGTCTCTGTCACTGAAAAGGAGTCAGTATTATGCCTTTAAAAAGTGAATTACAGTGTAAAAGGCTAATGAAGAAAAACACGTATGCCCAAGACTGTGCATTTTATGTAACTTACACTCCTGCAAGCAAACCGCAAACTTGAAAACACCTATGAGTAGTAATGGTCGATATCCATGTCTTCCACATCTGCCTCCGGACGACAGATTTCTTCTAAAGCCAATTCTATACGCCAAAAAAACAGGTATTAGAGAAAAACAAGTACAAGTACAATGAACATGTTTACTTGCTGGGGCACAGACATTTCTCAGGCTTGCCTAACTTTCTTCATTACTTAAACATGGGTGTTTGGCCATAATGTGGCTGCGAAAAACAGATTTAATTGCAGCAAAGATCAAAGATGAAAACACACGACACATGCTTTTATTTTGTAAATTCGCAATAGATCATAATATCGCTGCTTCACATAAGAGAAATGTAGAAAAATGCTTAAAAGAATACAATCCCGGAAATTACAAGCATCAGTATTGTTGCATATGAGAAGACCAGAACTAAAAACATCAGTCACTGTACATTTTTCTATGCGTCACAGAACCGAGTTTAAATAGGAAAGGGACTTCCATTCTCTTCTTATTGCACAGATTTATAAACACTGATCACTGAAAGGCTGAAAATCCAAAGCAGACAGCGCGGGACATTTCTGCACTCACCTTCGCTCCCCCACAGGCACGGGATCTTGCGGAAGGCATCCCGGACGGCTGGGATCACCTGGCCGTACATGTGCAGCACGTCCAGGCAGTGCTCGGCGAAGCCGGGGTCGTGCTGGGACAGCCAGTGCAGCAGCTGCAGGGCCTCCCTCAGCAGCGGGAGGGTCCCGGGCTGGGGCCTCACACCCTGCTCCTCCCCGCACTCCTGCGCCCTCACCTGCAGCCACTGCCTGTGCAGGATCACCACTAGGGTGCGCACTATCTGCACAAACGCAGAAAAAGGTAATGTAATGTAATGTTTCTTTATTAGCCCTATACAATTTCTTGCATTAGGAATTCCTTTTTTCGCATACCCCAGCTTTTTCACCATGGAGACACAGACACACAGACAGGGTGAGAGAAGCTTGGGGGTCAGAGCGCAGGGTCTGCCATTGTACAGCGCCCCTGGAGCAGTTGGGTTAAGGGCCTTGCTCAGGGGCCCAACGGAGTAGGATTCCTCTGCCGGCCGCGGGATTTGAACCGGCAACCTTCCAGTCACAGGCGCAGATCCTTAGCAACAGAGCCACCGCTCCGCCCCAGGTTGCGCGTCGGCAATCTGAATTGATACACCGTAAGCCCGTATATAAAAGCTTGAAAAGCCTTTTCCCTTGAGCTCAATTCAGCTCTTCTGGGAGATGCTCTGCTCCCAATAACCTTCTACGGAGAAAGGTCAACCTTAAAAATCTCAAATTTCAGCACAGACCAAGTCATTCTCTAATTGCACTTCCAAATGAAATTCAATCCGCAGACGCTGCTCTTTCTTACCTCTTTATTGCACTGACACGACGATTTAAAAAGAGTAGCACTTGAGGAAGAACTCTGGGTGCACAGCTTTGTTAAGAGCCGAACAACCTGCGAAGAGAACCAAGCAATTTTCTGGAATTAGTTCTTACAATACTATGAAGACCATGCATTACTTTTTCTGAAGCTGAAAAAATATGAACACATATCAGAAAAATCAATTCCTACACTACACAAGTACTATACTGGAATCCTCCATGGTCAAAATAGAAACAATATTATTCACAATCTTGTTTCTTCTACAATGCAGACAACGGGCAGGTTACATCACCTCTAAATCCAGCTGAGTTCCACAATTGTCAGTCACCAGTCTATCAGGTCTGGGAGTTATATATGTGTATAATCTGAAGAAAGGACATTCATCTATAAAGAAAAACGTTACTTCAACTTTCATTTTTTGTATAGTCTTAATTTTATTTACATGCATTCATAATTGTCCATCAACAAGGAAATAATGCATTTTCAGGATCACTCATAATGCTGTAATAATTAATAATTTAATTACAAATATTATATGTAAGTATTATATAGCTACAAAATACAATGACATGATGTTTATTAACTGCATTGTTTTCATTTAAATTATTTTTGTTTGGCACCTTTTTGACCTATTGTGAGAATGCCAAGACACAGATCTTTGATAGTATACGTACATAACTTGCCTCCGACAAGGACAAAGAACAAAAATCACTCAAATCACTCATTTCACCTGTTTTCATTCTTTTACAACAGTTTCTGCCCAGCTCAAGGTTTAAACAAAAATAAATTTGGTCAAACCCTCATGCAATCTCAGTGTATGTTAAAAATGTCTGCCGTGTACTTTTTTTTTAAAAAGGCTGCCGCCAACATCATGCAGTTAAAGACAGAGGATGCTGAGCTGAGAAATGTGAAGAATGAATATTTCTGAAGGCGACTGAACAGGAGAAATATCCTGCAAATGAGATAATGCTAGCAATCACAAGGAAAATGGGACAAAAAAACAATAAAGCCATTGAACACCGTTATAAAAATAATGTGAAAAGGCATGACACTGGACCAGTAGCTTCTGATGTAATGTCTAAATTACTATGGAAAATCTTCTTAAAACAAGGCATCTCACCTAAGTGTGAACAGAGCAGAGCAGCCATATCCTGATTGCTAGCAGTACGAGCCAGTAGACTGACAGTCAGGCAAACGATTCGATATGAGGTTTCTCGCGATAGGCAACCCATCAAATACTGGCTGCTGAGGAAACACTTGAACCTGTGTTAGAAAAAGATTAACTATAGATTTCCATTTCTGCTGTAAAATTGAAGCAAATGCTTAGAGAAGAAACAGAAAGAACATTAAGGTATTGAAAAACGTCATCAATAAAAATCGTCCTTTCATTTGTATTGAGCTACTGACGAGGTTAAACGAACAAAGCCAGGACTATCATTTTCATTCAGATTTCACTAGTTCTACAAATAGTCAGTATCAGCACAAGTATCACACATCATTATCCCATACACACACCAATCTTCCACCAAGTTTCGCAAAATCACAAAAGTTCTCCAGTTCCCACCTTGTCAGTAGTGATTCAGGAGCCCTTTCAGCCAGCATATTCAAGGTTGTCAAACTGCTGATTAACACGGTCTCTCTCTGACAGGCAGCTTTTGTGAAAACAGGGTCAGCCAGAAGGAGCAGCCTGCTGAACAAAGGGTGAGGTTCTTCCACTGCGTCTATGACACGAGGCGCTGCTTCGTCAACTTTTGAAGTTCCCGGATTGTTTTCGTCTTGAACAAACGCAGCCGGTTTCGATTTATTGGCTTCCAAATCACTTTCTTTCGTCCACATCTTATTCTGCTGTGAAAGCAAAGTCTGAACCACTTCCCTGCTCTGGGACACTAAATGGTACAGAGCTTTCAGGGCAGCAAGAGCGAAGTCTTCAAGGTTCACTAGGGACTCTTCTGTACCAGAGCTCATACTGCCTTTGGGAGAGGATCCACTTCGAGGGCTCTTCCCAGACTTTTCCACATTCTTCAGTGCCTGGCAAAACATGCCAATGTGATAGTCCAATAGCGGTAAAAGGTGCCCTGCACCAGAGTTTCTTCTGTCTGTGTCTAGCTGCCAGACACCATCAGAGTTGTGGTCAAGAGCTAGCATATGAAGTCCAGAAATGGCAAGGCTCTGCGCTTTACTAAAGCTGTTGTGAGGTCGCCGGATGGCTTTAGTCTCTGCTGAAGGATCACAGGACTCGGGAGATGATGCTCTGGAAAAATGAGGGGAAATGGCTGAAATGAACTTGGCTCCATGTCAATATGTACAAACAGCTAAAAGGTGTAGAGGTTGAAAGAGAGATCAACGCTCAATGCTTCGGACAAAGACACTTACGAACTGAAGAATTTGTGCTGAAATAGCGAGTCGGGGCTGATGCACAGCAGATGACAGAGTCCTAGAGTGCTGGGGCAAAGAGGGCACTGTAGCAGGAGGTTCAGCAGGATGGATCCTTCACAGCAAAAAATAATAATATTTTAAACCTCAAAATGACACTGTAGAGGTCTTCAATCCACATGGTCCTAAATTCACTTTATCAAGAGTCAAGAGTCAAGTCATTTACCTTGAAATTGAACGGGCTCAGATAGACAGGAAGTGTGTTGATGTATATCATCCTTGATGCTTCTTTTCATGTCAGTGCAAAGTGCTTTTTCATCTGTATGGGAGATACAGCAAAGAGAACTGAGACTTTGGAATAACAGTCAGATTTAGGTAAGTCATTGTTTCGACAAAAAGAAGTCTTGATGCAACTACAAAGACGAATCCTCTTTTCTTTAGAGTAAACCATTCAAATCAAAGTCATTCAGCTTCCTGGAATATATAGTGGATAAAAGATAGAAGAAATAAAAGGGCTTCAATTACTTTCTTGTTTTACCAAGTATGTGTTAAAAAAAGTAAATAGAATAATACCTTCCTTGAAAGAGGAACCTTGGCTGACCTTCTGGACTTTAACATGCGAGTGCTTCACAGGCAGTTCAGCAGAGAAGACCTCCTTTGAGAGAAAAGAATTCCGGCCGCTTACAGGAGAGGCAGTTCTTTCCTGCTGCAGAATTCCAGGAGAACATCGTCGGGGGCTGTAAACATCCCACTAGTTAATATCCCATTATAATAACCAGACCTGTAAAATGCTGCTCGTACCTTGTAAGCAAACGAGTAACCTACAAAGTCACTTCCCAGAAAAACGTAACGGGACTTCTCACTGTCTTCATGATTGAAGGTTTAGAGCACTGTTACACCACTGTCTGCTTCGTCATTAGCCCATTTGTCCACCGTAGTGACTTTGAACATGGCTGCCTTGCGCAAATGTGATCAAAACAGAGGTGTACAGCATGATCCATCATCAAAGGGGCACAGCAGTGGCAGGATCCACTGTCAAGTCACAGAGGTTTATGAACCCCATGCCATGAGACAGATACTGGAGTGAGTGTAATGAAACGTCTTCAATAACCATAATACAAGCAACCGGAGTGTGCAAATACTTTCCTGCACTGAATCATTCCTATCTCAGAAGTATGAAATTTGCTAACATAGAATAAAATCTCACCACTAAAGGCATTTCACCCATTTCCATGGGTGCCTGACACAACATGGTTCATAGGGGCCGATGGGTCCCACAAAATGTGCACCCTCAGCGCACTGAAGCAACTCACAGATATTCAGAGATTTACAAAGACAACGTTTTCCTGGCTGCATCTGGCATGATACCAGACAGAAGTTCAGGCTGCACATTCTTGTTGTACCTAGACATTTTCACAGCATTGCATGTTGGAGGTGCTAGATTACACACCTCACTGACCTGCCTGGCACCCAGTGATTTCCCACCTATCTAGATCAGAACCTGTCCAGTTGACAACAGGAAAGAGTAACACTAAAGACAGAGCCAGACACTGAAGTCTTGACTCTAGGAACCTCAATTCAAATGGACACAAATGGGTGGCATATAGGATGCATGCAAGAACAGGTCTGAAGTCCATCTGGGAGAGTTTTGTGCACCATGGCCCTAGTGTTGGTCTAGCTTTTAATTACAGTATGTACTAATAAATGAGCCCTGGTACATTATTTACTGAAATAACTACGTGTATATTTAATGAATTTGTTGGAGGAAAAAAAAACAGAAAAAGCTTTTTTTCTGATAGAACTCAAACAAAGCTATATGATTTATCTTCTTTTCAAATCTCATTTCTGGGTCTTCTATACATGATAATTAAGACCGAAAAACTACCTATATTTGTTACAGATCAAAGAATAAATTCTGAAACAAAACATACCTAAGTTTAGAAACAGATGGAAAAGTGAGTTTATTCCCCCGGTCACAGCTCTGCAGTTTGATTTTCATTTCATTCATCTCTGCTTCTTTAAAGTGTAGTTCTGACTGCAAGGACTGCACCTGTTCGACGAGAAAGAAAAACTGTCAAGATCCCACCAGGAAAGTGTGTAACTGATGTGCTTTCAGATGTGACTGTACCCCTAAACCAATAGACCAGAAGAAGCCTCTCATTTACAAAGACAACCTGGAGAGTACCCATTAATAGAGTGTGGTGTTTTCCCTCTAGCAATTTATAAAAGCACCCTGCTCACCGTTTCAAAAGTACCATCTCATCAGGCGTATGAGCCATACATACAGCTTCCCAGTTACAAGTCCAGAGCTTTAGGCACTACTCCACTCCTCTGCCCGGACACATCCCAAAGATTCTCAGTGTTTCGAAGGGAGGAGAGTAAACCCCAGCTTAGGTAAAGGGCCTTCTCTTGCAGTGCTAATGTAGTTACTGCTAGCCTACACATGCCCAGCAAGTTGCAAGCATTGCTGCTGTCCAGAGAGGGCCCTGGCAAACGAACACCCAACTTACCCCTATCAACTGAGCGGATTTTCCCAAGCAGCTGTGAACGACGGACAGTGGTGCTGCCTGCAGAGGCCCGCCCACGGTCAATTAGCGAAAGGAGGAAGATTCCAATTAGTAATCTAATTAATCTCAATTAATGAGACTGAGAGGAATTCATCTCAACACGTAGTCTGCCTGAGCACTTTTACACTTTGAGCCACATGGCAACCCTACCCTTTGAGCATTTTAGCTTTAAAAGAGCCAACAGTGTCCAAGAATAACCAGCTGAGACTTAGAAAACAGACAATATGTGGAAAGTGAACTGGCAACGTGCAACTCAACACTACATAAAAATGGCAGAGAACCTGCCTTTCAGACCCCACTTTGCTCCAGTCTCACAGTGATTCTAACCAACATGATTGCAGAAGAAGAAGAAGAATTCCTTACACTTGTACAGTGTTTTTCTGGACACTCCACTCAAAGCACTTTACAGGTAATGAGTAATCCCACTATCACCACCAATGTGCAGCCCCCACCCGGATGACGTGATGGCACCCATAGTGCGCCAGTATGCTCCCCACATACCAGTTCTCAGTGGGGAGAACGGATGCAAAATGTATAGAGCTGACCTTCTTTGCCAGCTCCTTCTCCTTTTCACTCTGGATGTTGGCTCTTTCTTTCTCCAAGAGGAGCTGGGCTTTTCTCTGCTTGTCCCGCTCTTGCTCTGTGTGCTGCAGAGAGTCCCGCAGCACTCGGATCTCCCCGTTCTTCATCAGCAGCTGAGACTCCGCTTCCTTCAGCTGACAGGGAGGGGAGGGAGAAAGAAAAGAGATATCGCTCGTTAGACCCTTTTCCGAGTTAACCACACGACTTTGGTAAGTCAAGCTGAGATTTCTTTATTCCAATAAAGAAAGGAGGACAGACAGACTTAACAGGTTAACCTTGTGTCTCACTCACTTTCGTAAGGACAGCAACAGGCTTTTATTCTTGAAGATGAGCAAAATTTTCAGACACAAACATACCTTTCTGATTGGACAGTATCAATTTCTTACCATATCAGGTGTAAACAAGGTCAGAAAGTCAAGCCGTTAGGTCAGCCTCAAGCTGACCAATTAACCAAGCAATTAACCAAGATCCCTAATTAACTAAGACCCCTGCAGCTTTTCACGTTGCTAAAAAGCATAAGATACGTGAGTTACAGCTCCAATCAAAGACTTTGAAGAAACCCCAGCCAGCTGGGAATGCACAAAAAACTCAAATAGTTCTTGCGGGCTTTATTGTTAACTCATGACCGGCATACGTTCATTCAACTCAGACATTTTTAATGAGTAGGAAATGTCTGCTCAATATGGACTTCAACAGCCAAACTGACCAAAATTCTCCATGACACTAGACAGAATCCCTATCCCAACTCAAGGAGTGGGTAACGATGTCTAATAGAATACTTGAAGTAACTAAGGTGTTTCATAGTACCGAAATTTGAGATTTTTTAAAAAATTGAGCATAAAGTGACAATGCTGTCACAGCTGTACATAAGAAGAACCTTTAAGCCATATTCCAATTTTTCAAAAAACATTTAATTAATTTAGTGCAAGCTCACCTTTTTCTTAAGCTCTTCATGTTGAGCTTCAAATGACTCATAGAATGCTTCTCTGCCTCTCCTGAATTGTTCTCCATTTCCTGTCAGGAAATCCCAAACCCACAGTCTTTTTAATCATGAAATGAGCGAGCAGCAGGAGTGGTTCCTTTGCAAAGTCACTGGTTTACACTTACTAAATGAAACAGGGGAGTTAATGTAACAATTGTATACATTGCACAACAAATACTTTTGTTCTACTAGAAAAGCTGCTGATAGTTTCCACTCCCCTGCATTACAATTAATTTTATACAAGATAACATGTATGCACTCTAATGTGTTATGAACAACATTTTAAAAGCATACCGCAGGTTTCCTTGGTTGTGGATCTGTCAGAGGTGCCCAACTTGCTCAGCCCACCATCGCTGCCCACATGATAACTGTTGCCAATAGCAAAGGTAGTTCTGACCTCTGCTGTTGGCCTGCTTTTCGTGGTTTGTTCAGGTTTGTTCGCTTCCACAGGCTCAGTAAATGCCTGGGATGCAATAGTATCAATCTCATCCAGATCATCTTGTGTAAAGTCATCGTCCTCTCCGAAGCAATCGGCCACGTTGTGACCTGCTCCCTTATGGCGCTTCAGAGGAGGGCACTCCATGCCATGGTCTCCGGGTGAACGTCGTCCAGTGACGGCAGAAAGCCCCGCTACCGAAGCACCCAATTTGTCTTGAGCAACACTGATATTTCTCCTGTTCGCATAAATATTGTAGTCAGACATCCTGACAATCAGTACTCTGGAAGATCAGAAAAGAATAAACAAAATATTAAAACTAAATAACAGACCTCACAATAAGTAAAGATCTTCTTCTCCGATCAGCACCAGAGCTTTTAACCCTGGTGTTTACTGTATGCCCACTGTATACAGTATGTGTACCCGGACCGTAATTTATGAATGGCGGAAAGAAGAAAAAACATATTTTCTGGTCGGGTAAGGACCGAATACCTTCGAATATCAATAAAACCGAAAGCGCTTAAGGCAAAAGCATGTTTAGAAAAAAGTTTTTAAAATTCAAAAATATTAATTTCCGTGACAAACTGGGGAGGTTACACCGAAAACCGAAAGCAAATGAGATGTTTTAAATCCTCTTTAGAAAAGAAGGATGAACACATCGGGTTTATCTTAACGTTTAACAAAATGCTTATCATTCGTAAATTGACAATTATATAAAGAAGTAAAGCTATATATTAAATATTTAATATATATTATATTATATATATTAGAAAGTGGGAATGACTGAACTACTGCTCACACATTTTTAACTCAAGCAAAACTTCGCTAACTTTTTGGGAGAAACAGAAAATAAAGTATCTGAAATAAAACTGAATACGTCCTGAAAACAAACCTGATATTAAATCACACAATTCCATTGCGTAGTGCCACTTCAATTATACAATTCTCATATTCAGACTGCAAAAGCAGACCCGAACTAACACATCCTCATCTCATTCTACATACTTTACAATATTGATTTCTGCACTCTAGACGTCTCAAGTACCACAGCCAATCATATCGCAGGTTCTAACAATAACTGTGAAGTAAGACGCGATTCTATTGGAGAATAAGGCAGTTGCTGTCTACGGAAAGCGAATAGGACACATTTTGTTTCCGCCGTTAGAGCGGAAGTTATCTTCAACAAAACAGAACAGGGCATAGTAGGATAGCTACGAAGCGTATTTTTGTGTTTTTATTGAACTCTTTGCAATCACACATTTTGCCCTTACAGTATGGGAGACCAGGTGTTAAATGTTCCCCTAATGTTTTCCTTCCAGTTTTAACTGACCTCGATATTTGTTCTTGAATAATTAAACGCGTTTCCTTTATGTTAAATATCAAAGAACAGTAGTCTTCTGTAGCTTTGGTATTCCAGTGTTTGTGCACTTTAGCAAAATTATTTTACCTCGGTCACTCGCATGCCAAGCTAGGAAGGATACATGCTTTATTTTCTATTTCGTTCTCCATGAAACTCCACGTGGTTTCTCCCTTTTTTTTAGAGACTCGGTTCGTAGAAAACCTTTTGTTAAAATCACCATGAATAATTACCAGGAGCTACATCAATACGCCTAGTTTGGGCAGCTTTAATAATATAGTACTCAATTTTTTTTAAAGTAGTGCTGTTGTACATACTACAAAACAATGAAAGAAATAACAAGTGAATTCCAAAAAACGGGGGCAAGTTATTAGTTTAACTGTAACATCCCTCTGCTAAAAAAAAATATATTTAAAATGTTCTCCGATTACTCTGGTATTCATTCGAAGGAGTTAGAAAGGCTGGGTATAAGGGTCAAGAAGAGGTTTATTCTATGCTGAAAGCAAAAACTAGGGGAAAAAATCCGCCGTGGAAAACGCTTTTTTTCAAGGTTACGTGTTTAGACCTAACCACTGCTTATTTGCGATAGTTGTCTGTTGCTTTCATTTGAATAACGTCTGCTCCCTGATCTTCCGTTTTATTCATTTGCTAAAACGGTTACAGGTCTCCCCGTCCTGCCAGGTCCAGCTACTTAGGGCTTGTTTGTGTACGTGCAGGAGCCGAGCTGGGCTTTGTGACGTCACCCCCCCAACCTCACAATGCAATTGGCTGCAGCGGAGCTGTGACGCGCAACAATGTTTACCAGCTGAGTAAGTGGGCAGTTTTGCTGGTAGAGGAGAGATTAACTTGGTTAGCGGGGGTGGAAGAGACTGTGTTAAATTAGAACAAAAAAAAATCGATAAGTAGGCAGTTGTTTCAGATTAAAATACATTATATTTCATCTATATACTTACACTTGACGAACGGACACGTTTAAACGGTTTTTGATCGGAGTTTTTCCCCCTTTTTTGTACAAAGGGAAAGTATTGCTTAGCGTCAGACAGGCCCAGCCTTATTGTTCAGTTTGCTTTCCGTCTTCCCAAAATAATCGCTTAAAATTCCGACTTTTTTTCGGTGGATTGATCGCTATTCGGTCACTAAAGCCGTCTCTCGCCTTGCAACAAAGCGATTTGTGTCTGTTGGGAGGTGCAAACACGGGTTGTTTTTCTGGTTTTCGACGGCTCATGAGAAAATTACCCACTCGATAAAATGAAAACTGAGATCTCCACAGCTGCGAAGTTTATCACCCGGTTGCTGAGGACAACTGGTTTCCTGTCCGAAGACCAACTCCAACGTTTTAGTCAGTCTCTGGAAGAAGCCTTGGGAGGTGAGCACAGCTTTATAAACTCTTTTAACTTTTTTTTAAAAATATTTGAATCGTTCGGTTTTAACGCCGCCTTTTGAGGATATTTTCTCCATCGGTGTCTCCCAAGACCTGATTTATGGCTTGTCGGGACATGAAAGTCCCTTCACTAGAAAGGGTCTATGAACTCTGAATCTGGGCTACAAACGATCAGAGGCGAGGACATTAGACTAGACTTCGTTTCTCAAATACAACCATTCTCTGATGTGAGCATTTCTTACTTTTGTCACAGAAAAAAAAAACGCGACCCAGAAAGTGTAAAAGGAATTCGGCGCCGGTATATTTCTCTTTTTTTAAAATGTACGTTGGGTGGTTTGTTTTTAAATGCTATTTTGAAAGTTCAACCGTTTTTTTCTTTCTTTCTTCTCTTGCTCCCGCAGAACATTACAAACAACACTGGTTCCCACAGGCTCCCTGCAGGGGCTCGGGCTACCGGTGCATCCGGATCAACCACAAGATGGATCCTTTGATAGGAAAAGCCGCCAGCACCATCGGACTCAACCGGGAGCAGCTCTTCACGCTGTTGCCCAGTGAACTGACACTGTGGGTCGACCCGTTCGAGGTTTCCTATCGTATAGGAGAGGATGGGTCCATCTGTGTCCTGTACGAGTCCACGCCACCCGCCATTGTGAATCCCAGTGTGGTGGACAGAAACAGCTGTAAGGAAGAACTCAGGTTCGGAAGGTCTAGCCCTTCCAAGTCGTACAATATGATGACCGTTTCAAGCTAAGCTTTACATACGAAGCTGTTTTTGTACAGTCCTGTATGTATTTTGCCGTCATTTGATAATGTAATTGTTGTTCCTCTTCTTTCTTTAGACATTAAAGTTAAGTATAACTGCCAAAACTATTTGTTTATTGTGGCCAAGGGCTATTGTACAAAATGAGCTGCATTGTAACGTTCCTGGATTGTATGATGTAAATTACATGTACAGTCATGTGGCGGTGTTTTACAGATTTATATTTTAAAACAAATCCTTGGGTATTTGTAATAAAACTCCCATATTTGAGCAGTGCTCTGGATTGGCAGCTCTTTCATTTTTTTGTGCTTTGTTACCAGTGGATGATTTAGGGCTTTAGTAGGGAAAAGGCTTCAAGGTTTTGTACAATGACACAAGGGAGCACACTAATCATGTCTTAAGCACACGTTTTTTTTTTAAACATTGATTCCATCTTTTCAAGCAATTATTTTTGCACCATTCACTATAATGGGCAGGTTTTGTATAAAAGATTAGCTAAATTAATCGGAATGCAGTTTCCTTCACAATCTTCTAATTAACCTGGCTTTTTGGCTTCCGAACAACACAGAACACAAAACTTAGAAGATCAGAAGTGGCAGTGGCTACTTGTGTAATTTCTCTTTCTACATTAGTTTCCTGCGAATAACATACTTTACACTAATAAAGATGAAAATTCATGTGGAATTAATAGAAATTGTACACCCAAAATGTTTAGGGCAATTTCTTCTCATGTAAATTCTTGTCCATGCAGTACTACTGTTTTCGGTTCCACCTGGTTAAGGAAGTATTTGTGATTATGATGCAGACTGCTTCTTGGAATTACATTTCCTAAGTCTTAAATTAAATATAAAAGGTTTTGATTAAACCTGAAATGGTCTGTTCAGTTTGGAAGTACAGTAAGATGGTATTACTTTATTTGGACTCATGGGATGAGATGGTACATTTTTTACTTTGAATTCCACTGTTTTCAAGCAAGTTTCAAGCAACTTGAGATCTATATAGCCTTAAAATCTTATCAGATAGTGTGCTGCTTATATTAGTATATGACACAAGATGCCAGCTGGGAGAAACTCAAGATAATGGGATTAGGTGGTGTACGTTTTATCCTTTTCCTGAGATTTTAAAAAGAAATCAGCGGGTTTGGAGGCCACTTAAGAAAAAAGAAGCCCCCAAAATGAATGTTTACTTTCATCCAAGATCCTTACTTTGATTTATACAAGAGCCCCTTTATATAGGCTCCTTGTTAAGAAAATTAACCAGTTCAACCTAGTTAATCCAAGAAAAAAGCATTGATTAAATTATGAACAATCATGATACTTGAAAGTGACATTTTATAATCCATCAAAGCAAGGATGACAACAACAACAATAAATAAGAAGAATACACAAGATAAAACACAATAACATATAGAGGAGACCGTGGATGGTGGTACTAAGAAAAGCAGAGGGGTGAAGAATGGAACCAGTTAAGTAAAGGCTTTTCTGAAGAAGAGGGTTTTGAGTCTGGTTTTGCTCAGATATATTATAACTGTTTTTATTTTTATAATTTTCTCAGAGTAAGAGTAAGACAACAAAAATATCACACAATACTGGGGATTACTCGACAGCCCCACTGAGTAGTTTTAAGGGGTATAGGTCTCGTCTTGTTTTATATATTTCACAAAAGAGTGTTTTTCCAGATTCACACAAACATTTGTAATTTGTACATTACATGAAATACAACTGCATTCTTTTCTATCTTCAGAAAAGGCCTGCCTGAATTACTTTTCTAACTAGAACTCAGTTGATATCTGTCTTATACAAAATGTACATAAGAAAAACTATCGTGTACACAAATGGTCTGCCACCAATGTAACCACACAATTTGGTAGTCAAAATTATGTTGTTGTTTCTTACAAAAGGAAGGAATGCATTCAATATCATAATAGGATGTCAGGTCTTAAAAGCTTGCTGAACAGACTTAAAAGACTTCAACAACTGCAGATTCATTTGAATTGTGAATGAATAGCGCAAGAATAAGACGTATTTATCTGACCTGGAATATCACAGTCGTTGTTCTCATTGCATCATTTCAGAAGCTTTTCTGTATCCTATGTTTGTGAAATACAGTAGGCTGTACTACCTAGAAGCAGGTAGTTTGTTAGCTTATTTGTTAAATCAAGAAGACATCCAATGCGTTTAAGATCACATGCTAAGCTCATTGTGCTCTAAATAAAAAAGAGACATGAGAAAAATTGATTTAAATCGCTAGAGCATGAACAAAATCATCTAACGTCGTTGTAACAGTACAGTGGGGAAAAAAAAGGCTAAAATGGCCGGACACATTTACAACGAGAACAAAACAAAAGACAGACACCTGTTAGACGAAGAAGGTAGCAAGAGTTCACGTTAAAGTACAGCAATAAAATGCAAAGGAGTTCTCCTCAAACTCAGACGAAGCAAAAGAAAAAAAGGAAGCTCTTTGGTCGAGGTACTTCAAGATATCTTAAAATTGCTTAGAGAGGTCTCTAAATGATGATTCGGCTAGGCATATTAAAACATCCTTTCATTCTCTGATATCACTGATTTCACTCCTGGACAAGGACTGCGTCTTCCGATGAGCCTGTCCCGGAAGGGACGGGTGAAAGGCGGGACTGCACTCTGGGCTGGCCAGCCCGTCGATCTGTCCAACAGGCAGGAGCAATTCAGAGGTTTTAATTACCCTTTAGCCAGCATGGCGTTTGGAACATGGAGAAAGTAGAACCCCAGGAGAAAAAAAAAAACGTGGACAGGAGGAGAACATGCAGGCTTCACACATACAGCGGAGCCATGTCAAACGTTATGTTTTTAAATGGTTAATGTCCATTCTGAGAATGTGGATAAACGGAATATAATATAACAAAAGTCGAACCTGAATATTGCGCAGATCAGTCTTTCTTAAAACTCCCCGTTTGCTGTGTTGTTACAAAAATGTTTTTTTTTGGTTTATTTATGCATAATAGAATAACAAAAAATCCAATAAAAAACAAGAGTGCATATAACATTTCAAGACAAAAAGATCGTCTGGGGTACATATTACAACATCAATTCAAGTTTAAAAAAGATTAAACAAATTCAATAAAAACAATGTCCGCACCGCTGTCATATTTTTGCACTTCGAAATAGTCTGCAAATACTCCCTTACATCCATTTTAAAATGCTCAAACAAAGGGTTCTTCCCAGACCACTTCATTTTATGTATATAATAACGTGCCATTATAAATGTTACAAAAATATGTCACTCGCTGCCTAACTCTGGCACCTCCCCCTGGTCAGGTGAATATAAGAATGTATGACGTCAATCCATTCATTTGGCCTGACACATTAAGGCAGGATTTCCTGGATCAAGAGTCGGTTCACCGTTAGATTGACTGGAGGGACGACCAATAAGAACCAAGCAGCGTAGAGTTCCTAGGCTGTTATCTTTGATCAGCCAATCAGATGCATGTTTACAAGTCCGTCGACGAATCGGAAGAGAGAGGGTGGGATATCCTTGACTAAAGCGGTAGTGCTCGTAGCGGTTAATCGGTGTGTGTCACAGTGAAAGAAATCGTTTCTCTTCCATCTGTGTGGATGGTGTGTTGAACTGGATTTGCGAAGCAATCTAAGTAGACCAATTCTGGTAACACGTTCAGGGAAGGTTGTTATGGAAGTTGATAAAATGGACGAGAATGAATGGAAATACCACGGTGAGGGAAACAAGAGCTTGGTAATTTCTCATGTTCAGGTGAGTGGTGTATTGCACGCCATTCTTTAAGGGAAACTTTTTGTGTTGGGAGAATTCAGAAATAAATCAAAGCTCATTTTTCACCAACAGCTTTAAATACCAGACGTTTTAACATCGTGGTCTGTTATATTGCGTGTACTCTGAAAAACACTTTAATGTTTTTTTAAAAAAAAATGAAATCGCGTTTCTGGAGCATGTCACTAATTCTGAAGGAAATAAAGAGAAGTTCAAGCCACGAAGTTCGTGACTATTTTCGAAACGTCCTTGCTAGATATGAAACATGCAGCTTACAGTCAAGCAGAGCCAGGGTCAGATCTTGCATTGCCTTTGTTATTTTTTCAGTTGCTGTTTATTTCTGTTCCCATCTGGATAGACAGTAGACCAGGCAGCGCCTCGCAGCCTGACTCCGGGGGAGGAGCAGTACGAACCTTCCCGTTAAAATGGGCGAAAATGATCTTTTCAACAGATCCCGGGCCTTTCTGAACAAAAGGACGGCTTTTGAAAGTCATCACTTAAAAAAAAAAAACAGACCTTTTCCTTTTCTGCAATCGGTTTGTAGTTTATAGTCGGGTGTGCAGTAGATGCGATCTTAAAAAGAAAAAGTTTATCGGATGTATTCCGTTTAGTCGGCCTAAGCAGAGTACTGATACTCAATACTTGCATACTCGCTATATACAGCTTTTAGTTCCCCCTAAACGTGTCTGATGCGTTCAAGACCTGTTTTTCTAAGCCAGACTTTTTTTTTCCCTGAATGGAATTTCCAAGGATGTTGCCGTTGCTTCCTTCAGACTCAGTAGTACTAAAGGGATCCTGGCTCCGCAGGTACTTGGGATTTTTTCCCCCTTCTTCTTTATTTGCTTAGCAGGTACTTTTACCCGTGGTGACACAAGCACTGCAGTGCGCGGATAAACAAAATATCCTAATGTCGTAAAGAAACTACAGCGAATTGCAAATCGAAGTGATCAGAAAGATGACCTTGCAGGTCGGACAGGTTTGTTGCAGTGGAAAAAGTGCCAGGTGAGAGGAGAGAGAAGACCGATCATTTCGACATTGCAGAGTAAAGTGCACTGCCTGTACAGGACAGATGTGTAGTGTGAAGACACAGTGTGTAGGCTAATTTTTTCCTTTGTGTTCAAGAAGCAGGCTACCTGTTGTGTAGCAGCGAAGTAGTCTGAGAAATCTAGGACGGCTCACGGTTTTTGAGGTTTGCATTTTTTAGTAATCAAGTTATGTAAAAATTTAAATATTGTCCTTCCAAATACTCTGTTTTCTAACAAATTGTTTTATTCTTTATAAGGAATCAAAGGGAATTGGTTGTTCCCTGCAGAGGTTTATAAAGAGGAAGCCATTTGTGTGAACTTCGGAGCTGAGCTTTGAGGACAAAACTTGCTCCCTGCTCTGCTCTCTAAATGAAGTTATTTCAAACAAAATATTTTTGACTAAGGTGTGGCTGTGACCTTTACTTGCCAGCATTCCTTGACTCAGTGAAATATTGTTCAACTCATGCTACAACCCAAACCTCCTTCAATGATATCAGAAAGTCACCTTCCCTGAGTGCTTTCAAATCCAGACTCCAAATCTTGTTCTTCACAAGCGCTTTCATGTAATTTGCATCTTACACTGCACTCAAAACCTTTTTTCTTTTTTATTGCACTAACCTGTCTAACTTATCTGATTGCACTCTAACTTATCGCACTTTATCTCCTTTCATGTTTATTTCTTACTGTAAAGCCCTTTGAGAAGCTACTTTTAAAGGCGCTGTATAGAATATAGTAGTGATAAGAAGAAGAGCCAACGAGAAATGGAAAATGTCAACAGATTTGGTAGCTAAAAGAAAGCCTTGTTTTGTATTCCTCTTTATTTTAATCTTTCTTGTGCTTTCATGCAGAACATTCTGCACCTGCAAAATCATCTGTTTCTGGGTTTTACTGTCTGTTGTGATCACACCAAGCTCAGCAGGCTTCACAATTAGCCACGGGCATAAGATAGTCGTAAAAAAGAGAGGATACAGGAATATTTCATTTGTCTTGTGACAAGATGAGTGGACCATCATTTCGTCACATGGCCGAGGGGAATGTGAGACGTTGATCAGATGGTAAAGTTGTTTGCACAGGTTTGGCCTGTGTGATGCACGTTCTGGTCTGGGCCATGTCAAGTAGCCAGCTGTGAGCAGAATTGTACCTGAAGTAAGATCATGCCGTGCCCTTCTGGATCCTGATAAGATAGTGACTTCTTTTGCGATTTCGAAGACAAGCTCGCCCATACCCCTTACCCTGTTGGGTCTTTCCCTTCTTCGTTGCAGTTTCTTTCAAACTGAGAGCTTGAGTGCAAGTTCTCCAGCCACTTGAACAGCGGTGTGCAGTGTGCCACATGGTGAGGGCTGAGTTGCTCTGATGGGCAGGCTGGGCAGTGGAGACTGCGTGCTTTTTCTCCTCCTCCCCAAGTGGGCACAGCTGCCCGACTGCTACAGACAGCTCTAAAGTAGATTTGTATATATTGTGAAAAGAGGGCACGAGTGTTTGCAGGGAATAGAAGTCTTATGAAAAAAAATCCACTGTTTATATAGTAATGAGATGCGCATATGAATGCAGTGCCTTTTAACATACAGCAGCTCACAAAAAAAGAATGCAAATTATTCAGATATATTGATAATTTTATTTGGTTGCTACCAATTTATTGTTCTGTCATGCTTGTTCTGGTGTGTAACACCAGACATCATGTTCGTCACCTTGAATACAGGTATCTGTTGGACGCAGTAAGTCAGTAGCTGAATAATATACACAGTTACCATCTCTGCCCAGGGATCAGCTGACCCCTTTTTTCAGTTCTGAGAAAAGAGCTTGTGATGCTGATAAAATACTGTGGGAGGTACATGTTCCCGTCTAACTGCTCAAAAATCACTGTGGTTCCTAGCTGTTGATGTCCACATTTGAGATAGAACTGTGTTTTTGGAAGCCCACACCCACCAAAAAATGTGGTTCTGGTGAGACATGCTTATTGCTTAACTTTTTTTCTGAATCTAAAATTTCCAAATTTGGTAGAAAGTCATTATATTCCTCCTGTGAGAATGGTTTCCTTTTCTTTTTTCTTTCTTTTATGTAGCCTAGAAAGTAAAACATTCACGTTTTCCAGAATAAAAGGACTTATAGTTTTAAAAGTATGTAAAATCAAGTTTTGTTAATAGGTTCAATTTAGTTACATAAGCCAATAAGAAAATGGAAGAAGTGGACAAAGGGTTTATTAGAAGCATCTTCCCAACAATGTAGCCTAAATTTACGAATAGTATAAAAATGCAAGTAATAGTTACAGTAAGAAGCAGAACTTTAGTTTTTAAATTTTGGGGAAAATGTTTGGTCATCCATGTTTGTAAACTTCCTGATCATTGCCCTGTTCAACTTGAAGATTGTTGCACGTGTAAACTCGTGCAATATCATAATAGGATCTGCAGTTTTCAGCCTATAGGACACGATGTATATCTAATCAAAGAGTAGCACAACTTCAGGTCTCTGACATTGCTATGTCTGTGTGCTGCAGAATTGGAGTTTCTGTCATCTTTAAAATTTTAAAGTGACAGCTACTGTTGTCTTTAATCTGTAGCTTAAGCAATTACAAAATATAATGCAAACATAAAAAGGCGTTCTACAACTCTACAAACTTGGGAATCTTTATTTATTATATATATATATTAGTCGTTAGTCTGAATTGGTTATACCTTGGCCAGAGCAGACGTGAGCTTTGTGCCTCCTGTTGATCTTCAGCTCTGGTCTTTTAAAGTCTTTCGGATTGAACAAAAAGGGGAAATGCAAAAGGAAACATCTGGTTTCAAAAACGTAAATAAGGTTGCACAGAAGGGAGGCCTTTTGGCCCATGCAGCCGGATTGGTAACTCGCAGCTACCTGATCCGGCGAGCTCTTCCATCTGTTTTGTGGAACAAACCAGGGTATCATCTTGAAAAGCTTGGGCTTGTGTTCTGTACTTTGGGCAAAGTCCCTCTCGTTCTAGGGTGAGAAATACAATGACCCTTCTGCAGGTTTACCTACAGAAACCTTCTGACTTTTACTTTCTGGATTTAGTCAAGTTTGCCTGTGTTCCTGATGCTCTGGCGGGGCCAATCTGAGGACCTCACTAAGCCCTCCAGTTGATAGCAGAGGTGGCTGGTGTCTACAAAGGGCAGGCTGACGATTGGGTGTGCAGGTAGATTCTCCCAGGGTTATGAACAGCTCTAAAAACAGTAACGCAGAAGTAGTTTATACAGAGACTTTATAAAAGCCCATATAGGTGCACGAATCTGGAAAAAAGGCACCAACATGTTTATAAAACTACAAATGTCTTACTCTTAGCATCTTCGCCATGTTTGTGTTGAATATATATTATTCAGAAAGAAGGATTCTTCAAAAAGCAATATTTTAACTTTAAGATATGAAAAGAAACACTTCTTGTTTTGAAACAAATTTCTCAAAGTGTGAGATGAAGTACAAACATGAAGTAAATTAATGTAAGGAGTGGCTGTTTTTTTGCTGTTTTGCAAATTTAAAAGAAATTGCAAAACCCCTCATCCACTTGTGATTTAAAAACAAAGATTATTCTTGTGATCAGTTTGATTGCTTTTGAGTCTGACAGTTATCTCTTTGTGGCTGAAAATTAAAAAAAATAAAAATAAAAACGGAGAAATGTGATGATCCGATAGACGTTTGCAGTTACCCCTTGACAGCAAGCATAATGACGGTTAATGACATGTTATGCTGGTTCTGATTCATGGTAGTCTGTAGCTGGTTCTTTTCATGACTGATCCAGATGTTTCATTAGTTTCTGTGATGGTGCATTGTGCCTACTGTGGTGCTGTGCCTTACCGTGTGATGGGGGCAGTTTGCATGCTGTTCTGGAAATGCCCACAATGTGACCTGTGTGATCCCACCTCATCCCTGTTGTATACCAATACTATAAAACCGAATTAACCAAAGGAGGCAGAAAGTCCAAACTCTTTGTACAACAGACTGCTTTCCCATCTAGGCAAGAGAATATGTGTGCATTGAACACCATACATACAGTACATCAATGTGTGCATCAAGGTGTATAAGTGTATAAATAAATGGCCAGTTTTTGTCTTCGAGTGAAACAAAGCTCTAGTAATATTTCCATTGTTTAGGTTAACTTTCAAAAGTTTTTTTTTACTAGAATTAAGGACTGTTGTATAAACCAAGGAATAGTAATGTCTATCCCAGAGACAGCCATTTCCTTCTCGGAAAACATCAGAGCAGACCTTGCTGAACTGCACTCATTTGTTTACGGTAAAAGCAATAGCCCTTATTGTATAACTGTCAAGTGTTCTTAAAGGATTCTTAAGTTTTGTTAATCGGATTACTTTTGAACTTTAATCTTTTAATAAAGAAACTTATTGTTTATTGCATTTTGTATGGAATGCACCTGGTATGGAAGAGCTTTAATATACCATTTTTTTCACATTTTATTTGTTTTAAGTGGAAAACGTCATCGATCGGAACGTTTCGAAAATCTCTAAAGCGTAGTTTAGGGTTAATGTATAACCTTGTGTGGTATATGACTATCAAATCCATGACATCCCCTCCCAAAAATCTGATTCCCTTATAAAAGGTAATGTGCAATTTCCGTAGATTTTAAATAATGTACATCTTGATCTTCTTTTTCAGCACTCTCAGGTTCTACGTTTTTTAAAGTATCCTGCCGAAGAAATTGAAAACCCGCGCCAGGTATGAATCATTAGGATGAGAAAATGCAAATGTGTGGGAGTTATCTTTTGGTGTCCTCTTAATGAGATATTAAATCAAGGTCCTGACCACTTGGTTTTTAAAGAAGCAATAATGACATTGTTGGTAAGGGTAGGTGTCCCGGCTAAATTCAGGTTTGGGTTTGTGCAGTCTGGCCTTCTTAATTTCCCCCTTTTTTTCCCGTTAGTGAAGTTAATTTTCTCTGCTGGTGTACATTGGGTGCCATGTGTTGCACAGATGAATACAGCATTGCAGTGGCAGGGGATATGGGTCACGTTTTATAAGTGAAACCCTTTGCAAATCTCACGAACTTCGATAAATAAACAGTTGGCAGTTACAAATGATGTGGGTATGACATGAATAATTCAAAACTTTTTTAAAAGATGAAGTTTCAGGTGCATATGTATGTGACATTTTAACAAATCTTTCACCTTCATTTGCAGCTAGCAAGTCAAAGAACAGGCGTGTTATCATTGACACAGCTGCGCCCCACATTTCCATGTTCAAATATTATGTTTATGCAGGAAAATAAGAGAGAATGACCAGTAGATTTCTCTTATGTTTTTTTAGTTTGATGTGAAACTTGTTAATAATAAAACAAAAGCAACCTGTTGCTCTGCTGCCAGACTGCTAGGCCCACCTGTGTTGAATCACGTGGTTTTTACATGGAAGGATTTCTCATATCTGACAGTAAATGTCGGCTCTGACAGATTCTTGCCTTAACACCACTTAAGCATAATGATAGCACTTGGCTTTGGCACAGGAAGTCCAGAAAAACAGGTTAAATGCCATTGCATTTTCATTGCTGTGTTTACAATGTATACATGAATAAGCGTACTTCATTTGTTTATAGCCCCGGAGAATTTCTATAATTTATTTACAGTCAACTAAAAAAACAATTTCAGAAGCGTTTACATTTTTTTCCCCTAAAATCTTCAAGCCTGCTGCAAGCTTAAAATTTGTGATTGCTGCAAACTTAGGTCCATCTCATGTCTTGAGGGCTGAAAAATGGGGTGATAGGGTGTTCAGTTTTTTGTTATGTAAAAACCCTCAATTTCAAGCAAGAGAAGATGTCCATGGGCAAATTTTCTTTTGGCAAACTGATGCATCTGACACCTGTGAACAGAGAGGCATAAGGGTGACAAAATTAGAACCTTAACAATAGTATCTTTAAGTATAATATTTAAAATATTTAAATATATTGAATCTCGAGTCTTGCATTTCTGAAGTGCGTCAGTATATTACCCTCTGAAGATTTCAACAAAAATATTTAGGTTACAGTCAGGCAAACTGGAATAACATGTTTTTTTAAAAAGTGAGATGTTCAAACTGAGGCTTGGAAATGTCCCTGTTATTTTCTTGGAAGCAAATTTCTGTGTTATAATTTTTGCTTTTTTTGCTCTCTTGACATTTTCCTTTGAGCTATTCTGAACAGTCGTGAATGCTCATTGTCATTGGCACGCTGGCACAAAATAATAGGCTCAGATTTCTTTGTGGTCTTTCAGAAAATGGTAAGCTAATTTTGATTTAGTTAGAAGCTCTAGTAATTAGTGGATCTACAAGAGAGCTATAAAATACGCTGAAGTCAGGAAAAGTGAACAGACTTTCATTTTACTGACTTCAGAACAATTTTAGCAGACTTTGTGGTAAAACATTTTAGTAAGGATCAGGGGGAGAGAAAGCACAGGCGGCGAGCTATTTTTGGGGTCCTCGATCTTTTGTCTAATGTTAATCATTACATCTGTGTTAACAGGAAAACAACTTAACACATGAGTGGTTATCCATTCTGAATTCAGCCTAGGTAAAATGGCGTCTGAGACAACCAAAAATGTTGTAGCCTCCTGGCTTCTTACCCAAGTTAAAGAACACACTCCTATTAGAAGTGCATTTGTTCTTTTTCAGACATCAGAAGAAGCTTTTCAGCAAATACAGAACATTGTGGACTTTAGTAAAAATGTTATGAAGCCCTTCCTTGGAGAAAAATATGTTCACCATGGAGTAAGATGTCTTTTTTTTCTTTTATTAAATTGCTGTTCTCATGTATTTTAAGTGTGGAACAGGGCTAGATTGATTTCCATTCTAGCTGTTTTTTCTCCAGTATTTTCATAATCTCGCTAACAATTCTTAAGCGGATTTCCTAGACAGCTGGGGAGGGGCAGATCCAGTCCTAAAGCTGAAAAAAGCATTAAAAGTTACAATGTTTGTTTTGCAGGAAGCTGTTAAACTACCTTTGGACTTTGTTAGGCAGCTTTCTTCAAAGGTTCAACAGAAAAGGCCAGGTACGTTCTGAACATTTGTTGGGAAACATTGTTGCTTTCATATTTAATAAAGTTCTTAACTGAAGTTCTGGAGGCATAACGACAGCTTAGTCAGTTTTTTTTTTCCAGCTGGTCTAAGTTTAATTATTCCCCACATCATTTTTCTCTAAAAGTTATGTATCATAAGCAAACCCCTTTTTTCTTGTTTTGCCTGATGTATCCCCCCTCCACCCATCTTCACCTTTACTGTTACCCCTTAGTTAACTCCTCACTCTGCAAGTGGGTCCTGTCTCCGTTGCCCTATAGCCAGGGGGCTGGTCCTCAGCCAAGCAGGTGAATCTAAATCTCACTACACATAAATACGCACATGGGTCTGATTCTTGTGGGTCATTATCGTTCCTTTAGTATGTTGAAACCTCTTTCATTGCACATTCAGTTCATGGTTTTTGATTCATTGTGTGGGTGTAGCAGTCTTGGTGGCACATTCTAAGACAGCTGCCTGCCCAGGAGTCAGAAGACTTTCAATTTGTTACTTTCAACTGCTGAATGAATGTTAATTGGTAGTTAATTTGTTTCAATTAAGATTGTCAAGAATAGAAATATCTCCATGAACACCTAGCATCAACTAACATGGTACGTTCATTTCATGTAAATAAAAGTCGAGTAAAATAAGAATAGAAAATGGCACTATAATGTACTATATTACTATGTATGTGCCAACGCACAGATGATGCATAATTTCCAATTTCTTACAGAATCCCGCTGTGACAAGATGATGGACACATTTAGTGGATATGCTTTGTGCCTACCAAATCTAACTAAACTGCCTGATTGCCACTTCAGTGAAAACAGGTCTCCACTTTGTATAGAAATAAAGGTAAGATTGTCACATTTATTTTGTGTTCATTCAAGGATGTAGATAATCTGTTACTTGTTCATGTTAATGAGCAATTTAGAAACTGAGCTGTTTGGGGGCATTTTCTATGCATTTTCCAACACTACCAAGGACTAAAATGCAGGTTAAATGTGCTCTGGGATTAGAGATCAGCCTGACCTAAAAACTCGGCCTGAGGGACTGGTGAGGCAAACCACTTGGCAGTCCTGATGGCAAACTGAAAAGGCTGCTTTGTTTTTTAATGAGCAGTTTAGCAGTGGTAATTAGCACGGATAAGCTGATAAGTTTAAAAGAATGTTACATGATTAAAAATACACACTAAAACTGATAATTCCAAGCTTTGCCTAACGATAATAAAGTGTCAAAAGATACCAAAACCACCTGCAGATTTAGAAAGCCGCATGATCACAGCAGGGCTCACTGTGGGTGAAAGGGTTTGTTCTACTTTCAAAAGTCAGACATTTAAACTGAAATTTGGAGCAAACGCATTTCAACTAAAAAGCTAAAAGGGATTTAAACACTGTAAGAAAATCTTTTATGTAGACTACCTCTATAATATGGACTACCTAAACCAAAAAAAATGACATGTTTTAAATGGTTTACATTTGAAACTGAAGGATGATGGAATTCTCCGTTGAAGGATCCTTAAAATAAAAAGCATATTTAGCAACCTCTGCTAAATCGGTAATTGGTAATGGGTTACTGGGTAACTGAAGCTTCAAGCAAGCAATGATATGGAATGTGCTGTCGATAACTGCATTGTTTTCATTTGCAGCCCAAATGTGGATTTCTGCCATTTTCAAGACATGTCACTAAGGAGATTAAACACAAGGTGTGTCGGTTCTGTATGCATCAGCACTTGAAGGTAATTAAACTAAATAAATTGAAATTCTGTTTCTGGTATATATATATAATGCGCACGATGAAGCCAAGTAAAACTGCAGGCGTGTTCTCAGTTACAAAGCTATGGAGACCCTACAGGGAAATGACAGTCTTGGGACATCTAAAAATATAATCTTTGTTTTTTCTTCCTCTTCTGTTTGTGTTCTGAATCACTTGGGAGCTTTTTCAGCTACTGGAGCTCAGGTTTCAATTATTAGAAGTCTGTAACGATGTGACTTTGTTAAATTGCTTCGCCAAACATGCAGACACCTCGCGTCCACACTCCCATCACAGCTAGATTCTTCTAACTGTGAGACTGAAATTATTTTTTTTCTCTTGTGACATTCAGTTTTTATTTGTAAGCTTACAAACAAAACACCGGAAAACGATACCGTACAAGGAATTAAAGAAAAGAGAAGTAGCCACTTAATATTTTTCAGGTGACCAATCTGCTAAGACATTTAGGGCAGCAATCTTTGTCTAAACTTGGACATAAGCTGGAACAGATTTGAAATCTGTCTCATCTTAAAACATAAACTTTACACTTCGGTAACAAAAAAGTACATCTTAGCCTACATTTTAAATGTAATTAATCTGTGTGTTACATCACGTACAACAGCAGGTCATACCTCTGCTTTTTGCAACAAAACACTACTGTGCATGTTTTTAGCAAGCCTTTTCTAGTGTCAGAATTGAACAAAAAAAAAACTTTCACTCACTGTCGTACAATTCTGAATTTTAGTGGCTTTTGCAGTTTCTCTGTTTGCTGTGGTATTAGTGATAAGTTAAAAATCTTGATGTTTCATATTTTTAATTCTTATTAAATGATGGATATCGACCTGAGACGTCCTTGTCAAAACCCACCAAAATAAATGACATTGAATTCCGAATGGGGGAAGACAGGAGAAAGGTGCACAGTGATGATGCACAAACCAAATGAATGAGGTCATGGCAATACTAGAGAACCTGGCTGCAGACTGAAAGTGTTTGTGCAGTGTCATGTGTTTGTGGGTGCTGATCACTGTTTGCTTGACGCCTTAGGGCATGGATCTGTCTCATGCTTTCAACACTTAATATAAACTTGACTGCTGTGTTACTTAAGTTGGTTTTCTTTTGCACAGCTAGCCAATGGAAAATGGAAGCGGCTCAGCAAATACTGTCCTCTTGACCTGTTCTCAGGGTGAGTATCGATGGACTCCTAACATCTTCACCCTTTGGCATGGGAGCAAAAGCCTTCTGGAGTGTTTAAAAAGAGTATCTGGATGGGGATTTGATGTGACAGCTATGCATTTCCAAGTTCAAAGCCCTAACTATTGTATCACACATCACGGTGTCACAACTTCACCTGGAAACCCTGGCAAATGAGGTTTTAGAGAAAATATGTCAGTATGTAGAATGTGTAAAGTGCAGGTTCTTATTTGTGTGAATGTTTTTGTACATTTTTCTAATTGTACAGAGTTCCAACTTTATAATTTGGCTTTAGGAATAGCTGTTTTAAATTGAGCTCAAAATTTAGTCTTTTTCTTTCCTTGTTCATTAAAAAAATAGTTGGGTATGGGTTGTTGTACTGACAAATTGTGACTTGATGCTGTCTGGTGCATCAGTGAGAGAGGAGACTAGTGGGCCTCTCTAGATGTTTTTTTTTTCTTTAATTGCTATTGATCCGATCTCATGTTATTACTTGAAAGAAGCCAGGCATCTTCAACTGCACATTGTCTTCCACTCTCCCATTATCCTTTGTGTGGAGGTGTTCCCTGTAGTCCTAGGTTTACCTGGACTTTCCCAATGGCTTCCACATGTTGATCTGTGTCTGGCCAGTTAACGTGTCAGAATGTATACACTGTATACATTATATGCACACTAACATAAAATATCGCTTGATACTTACGGAGGTGTAACACTTAGTGTCACACAGTTTATAGTACGGTTATACGCGGAAACATGTTTTGAATCATTTCAACCACAGAACCCTATTTATCAGTGATGCTTTTTTAGGAACAAACAGCGAATGTACTTTGCAATAAAACATTTGCTGGAAGAGGCACAGAACAACCTAAAGATCTTCAAGGTATGTAAGCTTTATAATATGTCTAATCAATCACTGTCACTTGCTTTAAAAATTGACAAGATTCAGGAAAGCTCCAATGTTTCCTATCGTCCCCTAATCTTATGAAGATAGGCATTTGTATTTGACACACAAGTTTGTTTTGTACATTATTTCATATGTAAGTCACCTTGCAACATTATCTAACCTTGCTTCTGTGAACTGGTTAGCGATTTTGTACAATTATGGTGAAAACTGAAACAGACCACATTGCTCTTCACCTTGACCTCAGAACCACAATACAGTTTTGTTCTCAATTTCCGCAAAACAGGGGGTGATTATTTGGGTGACCGGAATAAGAGATTTTTAAATTAATCTGGATCTTACAAAACCAAGTTTTATGTCGATGGCTTATTTTAAAATGGCATTACAAACCTTTGGCTTTCAAAGTAACTTTGACCACAGGATTTTTATTAATTTATTATAAGATTTTTTTATTGTAGTTTCTGACCAAGGTGCTCTGCAGCACTATTGCTTTTAGAAACATTTCTTAAGCGATAGTCTCGTAGGGTGGGACGAATAATTCTGAAGTGCAGATCGTTGAATTCCCTTATTTCTTTTTTGCTCCTTTTGCACGATTTTGCATGTCGTGCGTGGTGCAGAATGGAGAGCTCATATATAGCTGTAAGGATGACAAGGATCATCTCCAGGATTTGAATGAACTCGCCCAGCACTTGAAACCCTACTTCTATCCTGCCAATGGTCTCATCAATGGCCATCAGTCCACGAAGGCGATTGTCAGTGAGCTCATACAGGTCATCACAGCGGTGCTGCTGAGTAGCTCAGACTCCTGCCGGACAGGAGACAACAGGAAGGTGCATACTTCAGAGGGAAGGGGTTGCTGTGAGGCCAGCCTCCTGCACAGAGACATGCACAGAAAAGGTAATTAAAGCTTCATAATCAGATCACTGGACTCGAAAGGATCAGTGCTTAGTCCTAAGTCTATATGTATCAACCGCACCCTGGATTTATTTTAACTCTAGTTCTACATGGTGATGAGACAGTTATGGATCTGCCATTAATACTTCAGCTTTTTTAAAATATATTTGCCATCTAATGACTTGAAAGCTGAATTTCAGGATTGCGTGGAGTTTGTTTTTTTCTAAAAATGTTACCGTTTGCATCGTAGGCAATACTTGCTTACCTAAGGACTGCGTTCTTTCAAAAATACTGCAAGCTCAAATGTTGGACAACCTGGACATTGAAGGACTTTACCCCTTGTACAAACGGGTGGAACAGTACTTGGAGGAATTTCCTAAGGAAAGGTATTCTTCAGGAAAAAATGACAGTTGTCATAATAAAAATCTAAAAATCTGGTTAGAAGTTGAAAATCTTTTGTTTTCATGTAACGGCGATGAGCCATATTAGCCACAAGGTGGAGTTAAAGCACAATTGAATCATTGAATTCCATGTATTTCAAGGAACTTGAAAACAATTTTCAAAGGTGAATATTTCAATTCTAGTTGTTATAGAGCATTTAATATCTTGAATTTAGAGTAAAAATGTGAAATTGTGTAACTAAAAATGTATATTGATATGGATTTTGTATGAACCAATTAAATTATATTTAAAGTATTTTGGTATTTAAAAAAGTTTTAAAAACGGCTTCTTTCTCTTCAGGAGCAGATTACAAATTGATGGGCCCTATGATGAAAGTTTCCTTGAAAAGGTCAGGAATTGTCCTTCTGAAGATGACGGCACAGTTGAATATGCAGTTGGAAAGGTAAGACTCAGCACTTCTCTTTGTTTCATTCCCTGAGTGTGTCTCCACTTTTTGACTATGCCTGGCATGTTCAGGAAAGGAATTCTGCATACTTTTTTCTGATCTTATACTTACAGCTACCATAGTATTGGTTAAAAGAAAAACTGTAGTTCTCCGGAATCAGCTTTACAGTTTCTGGACACCAACATCCTGTGCATCAGGAACCATTTGTAGAATAATTGCACTTACAAGTGCTCCCTCTTCAGGTCTTCATATTGTACCTTTCACTTTAAAAAGCTTTGACAATCAGTACCACCTGCTGTACATGGCAGTTTGGGTGTAGTGTATGTAAGCCCTGACAGACACTTTACAAAGTAGTTCATTTAGAACCGACTTAATTAGCAGAATAGTAGAATCCACCCATTTCCTTTCTTCTGCAGGTCCATCAGTACAGAGTAGCAATGACTGCCAAAGATTGCTCTATCATGATAGCACTTGCACCCTGTGGAGAAGATGAACTGTAAGTTAAGAGGTTAACATATTTCTGTTGTATTCTGTATTTATACCTCAATGTTAGAAAAGTTAGTAGTTTACAATCTTAAACGTGAAGGGGTGAATTTTGACAGAACAGTTTTCTTAAATTTTTTAAAAAGATTTAATCTAAAATTCATTAATATACAAATAATACAGTCTCCCTAAAATTCAAATCATAAGAATAAGAATGTTGGCAAAATTATTTATCCTTTCAGTGCTGTGGTAGGTTTCTTAACTAATCTAAGTTTGTAACTGGCATTATAACTATTTTTTATTTTTCGTTTATATTTCTAACTTCCCCTTCAGACTGGAGCCCAGCCTGGAGATTCAGCCGTCAAAGACCAGGTTTGCTTATGCGGTATCCATCCTGGATTTGGACCCTAAACCTTACGAGAACATCCCACAACAATATAAGCTCGACACAAAAATAGTCAACTACTATCTAAAGAGTACACAGGCCAGAGAAGACCCGTCAGCACAGAATCTCCTTCTGGACAGCGAGGCCTGCACGCTCCTGTTTCACCCAGTGTGAATGCCATCAAGTGTTTCTGCACTTCCTATCCAAGCACTATATGAAGTGAGCAAGGGTTGCAAAGGTGTACCTTTTTTTTGGAAGCTGTATGCCATAGTAGAATGCTGTTGGCATTGGGTTGTAAATGGCGAGGCTGCGCTGAGTTGCCTGTAGTTAATGTGAGTCCTACAGGGTACCCGAGAGCCCTGGACCGAGAGTATGGGTGTGTAATTGTGCCATCTGGTTACTGAACTGTGCTGAATATTTTATAGCGTGCATTTGTATCAAGGCTTGTACAGACTGAAGGTTTTTGGCGCTTAGTGTCACCACTAAAGAAGTTAAAGCAAAATCGAAAGTCCATAACGGTAACAAAAATGAGAAAAGCACAGTAGGCAGTATAACAAAAAATCTTAGTAGGGAAATAAGAATGTAGTTATGGGAGGTTCTAAATTACTGTCTCTCCACTACCATTTTTAACAGCAATAATAGAATGTGCTGAGAATTCCAATATACTTGGACATCATTCAGTGTTTTTACAGTTGTACAATGACTAATGTAAGCCACTGTTAAGAGTATTCAAATGACTGGAAGGAGAAAGATGGGCATTTCAAATGTATGATGAAGTGCAAAATTTACATTGACAGTTCAGTCCCTTGCCGGAAAAGTCGTCTTTTGGTGCCTAATAATTCTATTCTTCAGAACATATCAGAGCATTCTTGAGTTCACCTCCCAGTTTATCTGTAAATTGAGACTAAATGTATTTTACAAATTCATATATAAAATATTGCAGTGTTTAAATGATTTTAAAACTGCTGAAGTGTAACGGACAATCCTGCAGTCTGTTATAGCAGTATAGGATTGGTTGGAAAGAAAATCAACATCAGTATTAGTACAGTCAGTACACACCGTCCCATTTCCAATTTGAGTTATTTTTCCAGATTGACTAGCTGGAAATCGATATTCATATATATCCATTGATCCAAAATTACAAAGACTGTTTGATTTCCTTTGCTTTAACAATCATATTTTAAAAAGTTAATTTCTTCGATTGATCAAAGAAACCAAGGGAGATGGTTAACTGACTTCTAACAAGGTTTCCTCTGCTGAAGTTGTACCTAAACTCCTGTAGAGCCTATGACTTAATAAAGAATAAACTACATTTATTCTAAGTGGTGAAAAAATAACCAGTAGGCTCAGAAAGATATTTGGGACCTTTTTAAGTCTGCAAATAATCAACCTCATGGCCTTGATACGATTGCCATTTAGCTGTGCTTATTTTAGCACTTTTTTTTTTCTAGTGGCAAAAACATTTAAAAAATCCTCAAGTTGTGCTGCTAATTTTAGTATCTGCCTCCACTTCATTGTGCCACTATGGATAGTGTCTTGTCAGTTGAAAGAAACCTAGTTATTTATTTGTGATATAATTAAAAGCAGTTAAAACAGAATGGTCATTCAGCTAATTTTATACTCACAGGTTTGTAGCCCTATTGTTTGAGAGCTACATCACTGTAAAAAGTGATTTAAATGGTTTAGTAGAAGTAGTTATCTCAATACCAGTGTTAAGTGAAGTGTGTCTACAATTACACCAACGATGACTGTTTACAACACATGCTTGGACATCAGATTTGGAATTTGAGGACAGCTCCTGAGCTGTTTAAATTTGCGGGGACATCATTATTTTGCTAAGTTCACCCAGTTTCTCCTTTGCAAGGTGTCAAAGCGGTATTGTACTTTGCAGAGTTCGGACTAGATGCATGTGAATCAAAAGGATGAGCGGTGTCTCATGTGAATGAGTCCTCATGAGGGGTTGAGGTTGAATCCTGTACAGTCCAAAGAGTAGGTGAGAATTGTATCTTCAGAGTGTTTTACAACAATATTGTTGTAGTAAAACCACATTTACAGTTGACAAATCCAACTCTACTGTGAGGGAGGTGTATAAAAAGAAATGATTGGTGATTCCATATTTAAAAAAAAAACATTTTACTTAAGCAGCAATATGTTACATTAAAAACACAATTCAATACATTTGCCTATAAAATCCTATAGCTGGGAATTTTACTGTACAAAAAAAGTGTATAGGTTCTCTTTTTAAACCCGTCCTTAATATTAAAAGGGTAACATCATTCTTCATTTTGTTTCTGCTAGACCAAGACCTGCATTTAAAACAAAGTCAAACTCTATTATAACAAGCAAAAATGGATAATTGCTTTTTGTGAGAATTATTTTTGAAATGTTACCTAATATTTAAACCAAAGTTATTTTAGTGGGTGGTCCAGTATGTTAATATAAATGGCTACAACAATTAATTTCTTACCAAAGGACAAGTTATGCAGATTTAGTTTAAATCTTTTCAGACCATTAGTCTCGTGGTACTGAATCCAGTTGACTTACACAGTTACACAGTTGCAGACAACAGTGTTGACGCCCTTCATTTGAAACTGTTATCCCAATTATTTAGAAATGTAAAAGTAAAGGGTTATTAAAATTGTACATGTTAATTTTAATGCAACTTTTGCAAAGTTTGACTACAGATTTATCCACTTGAGTGTTGATAAAAATTACAGGTGAAGTAACTCGTTTTCAGACAGGGGGTGCCAATACACAAGTCTGCAACTCCACTGATCTCTGTTCAGACTAAAGGCATTAAACAGAACATTGTTTGGAATACTATTGGGTGCCAATACTATTGTGTATAAGCATGTAGAACTAAACCCATCGAGAAAACATTAGTAGACGTAATTATATCTGTGTCAGCTGGTATCCAACAATTTTAAATGTCTGGAAGCTAATGGTAACAGAGTTCTACTGTATTTTTCTAGGGAGCTGTGAAAAAAGAAAACTGATTGTTTTCTGTTAACTTGAATTATCGCTTTTGAAGTAGGAATATAACACTCATTCTTTTCTGAAAGAACACAAATAGAACCACTCTGGTACCTTTAATACAAAAGAAACAGCGAAGTGTAAAAGATAATTCAGAGTTGTGGTCTTTACGTTAATGATTTTTGGCATTTTATATTTAAATACTATTTATTTTTCAGGGCATATATACCATGGAGGCATATGTACATCAGGCATTACATTTGACAAATATTTCTTGATGGGGATTGTACAGAGGTGTTTATATTGAATAAAATAATAAAAAGAGAGCATGTGCTGTTATTTAACTAGAAATATATTTTGACCTTATGACCCATTTTTTTTTAAAGCTGCCGTGAAAGCCTAGTCTGTGCACATTGATTTTATTAAACCTTCAATTGCAGCTTCAACTCCAAGTAAGCACAGCAGGCTTTGAAAACTGTGGGGTGCATTTTCTGCTACCTTCTCCTTGTCCAGTTTCAGAGCTGAGAAGAAGGAAAAATTAGTTTTCATTAATAAATACCAGATCAATTCATGAGTGTTGTTCACTATATTTATTAAATTGCAAATTAAATTACACTCATTGCTGTTTTAACCTGTCAGAAATGAAATTTTTCTAACTATATTTAAGATAAGCATTCACCACTTTTTAATTAAAAAGTTATTGGTAAAGTTAAGAATTGCACATCATTTGTAATACTAAGTACATAATGTGAAGTTAGAAACCCATAAACTGATTTATGGATAAAGATGTAATGCCACTTCAATCATGTAAAAGAAAATTTACCTTACCTTGTTCTGGCATTTTGGTCAAAAGATTTATCTTGGGAGTAACAACTCCTTCTTCGTTCACTTCAACAGTCCAAACAATATTTAACCTGCATCTGTTAAATAAGAGTCCTCAACAGGTTAGTTGAGGAAATAAACCTTTCCACTGATATTCAGGGCTGTCAAAATGTATTTTAAGCTATCTATACATAGAAAGTACTTGGACCAATTTAGGAATTTCATTTCTGAAACTAAAAGTAATCGATAAGAACATGATTCAATTCACCAAGGTTAATCCATATTAACTGTAGGATAGATCCTTGTATGGCATGCCTATGGTAATTTAGCTCAAGGTTTTAATGCCGTACATTAAACTTACTTAGACTTGAGAAATGTTATAAACAGATGAAGTTCAGTACATGTTTTGTGCTAGTATAGCCAGGATCTGTTATTCAAAAATTATCTTGATAAACTAGAAAAATGGCCATCGCCATCACACATTTAGAATAACACTGTAACAGGGGAAAAAAGCTGACTGAAAATAACAGAAAAACTGGCATCGCACCTGCCTTTGGCAGAGTTTAAGAGAGAATGGCCATTCTTACCCTGGTAGTTTTGGATTCTCAATCGCCATTAGCTTGGATCTGCAGCCTTCAGGAAGACTGACCATACTGGGGTATTTATCCTGTCATTTAAAAACAAGAAAATGAATTTACAAGTTTGTTTTGAAGGAAGAAAGGTCCAACTGTTTTCTGTTTCAGGAAGGAGTCAAAGGTTGTCTTTGTTTGAAAGCATCCTCCCAGTGTACGTGCAGTGTAAGACCATTTCCATGGTAAAGGAGTCTAGGCTGGTCTTGACCGTGTGACTGTGCTCTGGCAGGGGTGTCGAGGGCCAGAATGCGAGAGAGTGATTTAAACTGCTGAAATGGTGCACAAGAAAGGTTACTCTATCAGATTTTATTAAAGGAACAAGACTTAAGATGCATTTTTTACATCTATAAATGGCAATTTACCTGTTAACCACATCACTGTATTAGTAAAATTATAAATCATACAATTACTAATTAGCAGGGATTATGGAGATTTTTGTGTCACTTCTGCAGAAGGATAACATAACTTCTAGTTCACATAATGGCAAAATAAAATAATGCCAACATTTTAAGAGGAAGTCCTAGAACAACTAACAGGCTTCTCTGTAAATTCTGTAGTTAAATGTCATTCGCATGAGTACGCTTGCCTTGAATACCTCTGCATAAACGTTCTCCTAGTTTTATAAGAGAATAACCAAGTCCCCTGTAGAAAATGATTCCTGTATCAGCTGAAAGCTACACAAACACAGCCTTCATGTTTATAATTGTGTCTGTTCTACTGATTATAAGGTTAACACAAGTCAAGCACCAGAGTTTGACCACATTTTTGTTAGATTAAATTCTGCTTTCGCACTTGGAAAAGGAAATGTTTATATATTTAAATGTTTTTACATTGAATTCCAGTTTAAGAGCGACTATTCCTTACCCTTCCAAGTTTAGAAAACATAAATGAATGGGAACAGTTTCTGCAGAATAGCGAACCATTATTTTAGAACTGCTCATAGGAAGAGCTCAAGAACAGTTTACAAAAACATGTTGTGCACATCATAAGACTTACCATTTAACAATGATAATACAGACTAATTACTTGGTCCTAGGACAAGGGGTTAAGGTGCAAATTAGACATAAGCGGTTAGCTTTGGGATAAAAAAGTGATTCATCAGAGGAAGCCTGAAATCTTAACAAATCTTCACAAAATAGTTGAATCAGAAATTCTGTAAAGATTTAGTGAATGCAGCTTGCCAGGAGGAATATATCCATCCATTTTCTGATTGCTTCTTTCAATGCAGGACTGTGGGAGAGACAAAGACTATCCTAACAGGCAGTGGGCGCAAGGCAGAGTACACCCTGCATGGGACGCCAGTCCACCGCAGGACAGACACAAGCACAGACAGGTACACACTCACACCAGGGCCAGTATTCCTAGAAACCAGTTAACCTTCTGGTGTGTCTTTGGAGCGTGGGAGGAAACCCATATGAACACAGGGAGAACATACAAACTCCACACAGATAGCAGGTCTGGAACTGAACCCAGGGCCCCAGTGCTGCAAGGCAGCCATGCTGGCCACTGTGCCACCCCACCAGGAGGGGTCCGGGGAAGGTTTCTATGTCAGGGTGAGGCTTGCATGGAGACACACACCAACACTATGTGCAGTACTTAAAACCACACACAAAAGTATAGTAAGGTGTGATTCAAATGCTCAGTGATGTCATTTTATGTACATGTATAAATGTTACACTCCTTAATGAATTGGAGAAAAGGATCTCAGTGTCCTACAAATCCTTATAATCCTCTCTCCAAACTGCCTAGTCAGCAAGCAAGCTTGAAAAGGATGTAAAACCACAGTGTGTCAAAATCAAAATCAGAAGGATAAAAAAAGATGTTACACATAAAAGCCAAAAATGATGTTTAACAGCATCCAACAAGTTTGTCACTTTTTAAAAAGCATTCGCTCATCAGGGCTTCCTTCATCTCCTTTTATCCATTTGTTGGTTTATCAGAGATTTATAATTTTCTTTCTTTTCTGCTGATTATTTCTTTGCAATGTGTTAGGGTCTGTGGGCAAATCAAGAATACTGGCGCCATGATGGTCACCCCAGGAACATGTAGTGTGGGGAGACACAGACTGCCAAATGTCTCCCAGAAGTTTAAAACTTCCATTCTGACTTCCTGGCCAAGAACTGTAAATAAAACTTGTGGGAAGATTGTTGGTGGATTAGCTGGAATGCTCCAGAAAGCACTGAAACCAGTAACTAGGCAATATAAAATTAATTAAAATAATCCATCAGCCATGAGCTCCCATGTAAATTCTATCAGTGCTGGAGAGAACAATTCATTCATCATTGCAAATGAATAACACTTAAGAGCTTTTGTTGTACACTAAATCTACTAACCGTGCTCGTTAACATAAACCATAAAATTAACAGGAGCAATGAGAGACGGAAAAGACATGACGCTGGATTATTTTTCGATTTTACAAATGCTGAGAACCAGAACTGCCTACAGAAATTGCAAAGAAATCATCCATCTCGCCTTCAGCTTGCTGTCTGGTAATTTGTATCGCTGGGATTTTTCAGCTACACTGACGTAAGGATTGATTATATCAATTCCAGTACCAGCTGCAAGGGCTGTTGCCTATCAGCAATCTTAACCTGACTACTAAGACTTTCAGACATCTTCTGTGTAAAATTTCAGCCTTACTGGGAGAAAGCTTTTTGTATTTTGACAATCAGTCTATAAGCACAAAAAGGGGTTATTGGTATGAATGGAAAAATACATGAACATATAATATCTGTATTTAACAGGGTTTGACAGAAGTGGATTTTTTTTCAGAAATGGACTGGGGAGTGGAAATACCAAATACCACTTTTACCAAGTTCCTTCCCACCCCTCGTTTAACACCTTGATCAATTACATCTAACAATGGACAACATCGTTTACATTTTTTGTTCACTAAACTAAAAAAAAAGGCTGCTACCAATTCTGCTTACTTTACAGAAACACATCCAATGTGGTTTGCTCTGTAAAATGGAAGTTGGTTGCCCAGAACATTTTTTCCCCTCAAAGGTTTTTGATCTCCATTTTATTTGTGGTTTCTGGAGTCTACCAAGTTCATTTTCTTTTAAAGTCTCATAAATAACCCAGTCAAATAGAACTGATACCTAGCACTGCTCACCTAACAGTGGGTGCCTGTGACTGGAACGTTAACAGTGTCTGGAAATGCAGTTAATAGGCACTGAGGCCTGCGTAGTGCTTCTTTCAACCCAAAGCCTGACAACAAAGTGATGCTTTTAATCAGCTGCAATTACAGAGCACACCTGATACCACTGATCACAACTTCAGTTTTCTTTTTTCTCATTAGTTTTTTTTGCACAGCAACCCAGCCTGGAATCACAACCAGGGTCTGTCTGTCTTGACTCGCAGTGACGACCGCTGTATTCACATGGGGGAAAATAAGGACATCGCAAGACTGCAGAAACTGGCAGAGGGCTGCTGTACCACCAGGAATTCAAAAGCACTTCAGACAGTTGCAATCCCGTTCTCCAGCAAATCCCGAGCCATTCCTTGGGGAATCGGAGTTATAGTCTGCTAGTGATGTAACTCATTGTCTGGATCGCAGGAGTGATCACCTTTCCCGAGTGAATCATTCAATAAGAATCCCCATGTCTGAAGGCTTTTTCTGTTACAGTTTTTATCCTGAGGAGAGAGGATACTTGGGAGAACTGTAAAAGACAGCACTCTAGGTCTTTACAGGAGGTTTGTGTTAGTGTTCCCAAGTGGAGGTAATCCCTCAAGAACCCCTGACAGATTGATGGACCTTTTATTTCATGAAACCACTGACCTTTAAGGCCTTTCTCTGTTCATGCTCACCTTGTTTCCTTTATGATACAGAAGAGAAACACAAGCTTTCTTAGTTCCAGATGGGATAAGGAAGCTTCCTGCTGAAAAATCTATGACTAGGTTTTACTTTCCTCAGAATCAAACGAAAATCCTCACTCACACAGGCTTGAAAACTTCTCCAGAATAAAGAACATCAGCCCTTTGATTTAACCATTCAGAAAAATACAGCCCTTCAGGTCTAGGTCGTGGCAGAGTTCATTAGAACACCTGCTACCAGACCAAAATTATAGTCAGAGATTCCTAGTATTGAAGAAGGATCAAAAACAGCGCCAGGGTGTGTGACGCTATGCTAGCAGCTGAATCTCTCAGCCACTGTGTATTCTGGAATTGTTACAGGAGAGTACATGGGCAACAAAGGTAAGGTGTTCAGCTATCATAGCAGGAGATGGTGGCAAGTTAAGGAATCCAAATACCACAGCAGGATTCAAAGTGATTTCACTTTAGTGCAGTGTTTCGAAGCCCATGTCTGTACGCCTGTCATGTAACAGTGCTGCAGCCCCAAGCTTGCAGCTGCGGAGGAGAGCAGACACCTGCGTCTCATTGTTCTTACTGGTTTGCCAGCCAAGGACAATAAGCCACAGGTGTGCCAGCCCTCCTCTACAGCTGCAGCCCCTGGCAGCCACAGTCGGCCTTCGCTTCTAATTGCACAGCCCTGCCTGAACCTACCAAACACAGGATATTCAGGTGCAGCTTGAAAGCATTTCTTTACACAATATCTGAAGGAAGTCTTCAAGACCAGATGTACAGGAATGACCGAATTGATGCTGAACGGAAAACCACTAACATTTGGTTTTACAAATCGCACAGTTCATCTCTAAACCTGGCCACAGCCTTTCTTTTCAAGCATTATTATTCCAGAAAACTACAATCTATTCATGGAAGATGAAGCATGTTCTAAGAAAGTATTCAGCAATACTCGCATGTGGCTTTATCCTTAGCAAATAATCAAGGTGACCAATGCATCAGGAAAATGTGCTGTGTGGTTGTTTACAAAATAGTTTTTTTTTTTACTTCTCATTTAAAGAAGTAGAGCACCAGGAGTCATGCACAGGGAGTCAGTACCAAAGCTGGAAACTTCTTTGTCCTTTCCTACTGACCTTTACACATTAATGCAGGTTTTTTAATTAAAGTTCCCTGTACATCATATGCAAAGCTGAAGGCTGTATTGTCTTCGTATAATGGATGTTCAGATTAA